CACAGTGCGGCATCTAGGGGTATCTCCTTCTGAGGGTGGTAGCCATTGTTGATTCCCTATGGTCTTGTTTTGAATTCCTATATTGTTTCCATTGTTTTGTTGGGTTGAGCTTTATTCTCTTTTGTTTTGTTTGATTATGTTATATATAATGGTATGAGCAGCTATTTCAAAGATAGCAAGATATGTTATGGTAGCCATTCGGATTTGCTATTTTCTTGTTTTGAAGTCCTTTATTGCTTCATTGTCGTGTTGTTATTGCTTCTATTCTGTTCTGATCTGTTAGATTTTTACCATGTCTGAAGGTATCTGCAGCTATTTTGAAGACAACAAGAGGCATTGTGGTAATTACTGTTGACTTTGTATTGTGTTGAAGTCCTGGATCACTTGCACTAGTTTGTTTTGATTTGTTTTATTGTTTTTTCCCTTTGTTTTACCCTCTTTAAAATAAAAAAGACCTATAAAGCATACTTTTATTTCTCACAAAAATGTAACTAAAGGAAAGCAAAACTTGGTTTTTATTTGAACTCAAAGTTAATTCTAAACCATATTGTTTACTTACCATACACTATTTTACGGGCATTCATACTTATCCTCAAACCTGATCCTAAAAGCTAAGTGGAGAATGTCAAGATCAATATTTGATAGTCTAGAAGCCACACAACTATGCAGTAAAATTTTAAAAAGTGTCGCTGCTCTATGTGTGTGTGCGCGTGTGTGAGCATGTGTGTAGGTGCAACGATGACTACCCTCAGCTATGTAAATTCTTTTAAAAGAAAATTTATTGCAGAATAGGAATAGCTCCTTAGAGAGAGGAGGTGTCCTGAATGGGTTGTCTGAATTTTTTTTAGAGGATGAAATTAGACTCAAGTCCCAGCACTATGGGAAGCTGAGGCAGGAGGATTGCAAGTTTGAGCCCAGCAAGGAGCAACTTAAGCAGACCTTGTCTTGAAACTCAAAACTTACATAAAATTTTAAAAATAAAATTAATAGTTGGGATGTCCGGTTATTCTAATTCTTTTTCCTTGGATTGTTCACTCTTCCTCTTCGGGGAGGGCTGGGGTGTCAAACCAGAGCTTTATGCACACCAGACAAGAGCTCTACCACTTTACAGCCCTGCCCTTTGTGAGATGCATCCTCACAGCCGAACAGACACGGACTGGTTAACCCAAGAGCGGCACACAGTGTGTAGGTCACAATGTCGTCAGGCATAGACAATGGGCAAGGACCAGCAGCTCTTGGGACTCCGGGAAGGGAGCCGAGCTGTAGTCAGCAGTCCCCCACTGAAGAGAACGAGGGACTACAGTCTTAGGGACTTCGGACTCGCTGGAGTTAGGCTAGGGAACCTGTGAGGATGACTGTAGGAAGAGGAGAAATGGTCTACTTCATCACAGAATGCCCAAGATTTCATGTTTTCGTATGTGAACATAGATATTAATCTGATGAACATAAGGGTCAGCAGTACCGCCTTGCTTCTTCCACTATGAGTCCCGTGTGACATCAGACAATGTCCCCATGCTGTTTGTAAAATCCGAGGTTCAGCTTTTTACAGTTGCTGGGAGCTCCAAGCTTTTACTTCCTCTGAATTAGGGAGTTCAGAATTATGGGTTGTCCCAACATCGTAGCCCCAGTCCCCGTCCTGACATAACATTTAGCTCCTGTTTCTGATTTCTACAGGAGGAAAACATTCACATAGAGCCTTTGTGTTGATAGCAAAATTTACTTAAAATGTTATGGGATGAGTGAGATCAACAACATAATCCTACAGAGAATGTTTCCAACATTCCATTAAGTCAGATGTCCATGCCATTCACATAAGCTGCCATTTTTGTCTGTTTCTGTTTTTTTGAGACAAGATCTTATTATGTAATCAGGCTGACCTTGAACTCACTAGGCAGCCCACGCTGGCCTGGAACTGGAGGCAATTTTCCTGTCTCAGCCTCCTGAGAGCGGGTATTACAGGAATGCACCACCATGCTAGGCATCCTGCCATATTTTGAAATGACTATCTACTTCAGCCACTCTCAAGGATATCCAGATCTCCTTTTCTCCCTCTCTCTCTTTCTTCTTCCCTCACAATATGAGTATCCTGAAGCTTCCCAGTTTTCTGGGAAGCATTGTTCATGCTGTTCTGGTTTTTATTAGTACAGATAATATTATAGCTTACAATATGGATTTTCTAAGCTTTACTACTTACATTATACTCACCAGAGAGCAAAAATTTTAAGAAATAGTCAACTTCTTATTTCTGTAACCTTTTTAATCTTTAAAACTTAACCTGATGGTTAATGTACTGTAAATAGTTCCAACATCATCAAGTTGTTTTGTGTTTTGAGTTTGCATGAAAGAATAATAGCAGCTAAACTCATTTCACTCATAATATTTATGTTTAATGTTGTGAGGAGCAGCACTTTTATCAGCCCATTGAGCAATGGAGCTCAATCTGAGTCTACAAATCATACTGTAAGACAAAATAATCACTTTCCAATCATGTCGCTATGGCCTATTAATAGCATGCTATTAAAGTAACTGGGCACTGTAGTAAATCTTTTCTGGACATAAAAGTTGAAACTTTATTAAATGTTTTGTTAATAAAATGTAAATAGTTACAGACATTTTCCTTGTTCTATTTCATATGAAAGATACAAAGGCTATCATGCACATCTGCTTAGACCAAGGCCATGTGATAGCATAATGCCAGGCACTAAAACATGGGCATAAGTGGCTGAATTTGGTTTTGGTGGCATAGCTGCTACAGAGATGCCTATCATTTTGTCAGCAAAGGTCAATACAGAAAGGCTTGCCTGTTTTCAAAGGGAGGCCAGGAATATAACTTGCCAGATAGGGTCAGATAGGGGAGTGAGCTATACCCTGGTAGAGAACAGCACAAAGAAGATCGAAAGGTACTCACTGTGGGTCATGAGTTCCACACTTGGCCCCTGGTAAATAGGGACATGTAAGGTGAGAGTCACTGCATAACCCAGGTTGACAATGACAAGGACAAGAGTAATGATAAAGAATGGTGCTTTTTAAAGTTTAGGGAAGAGCTGGGCACAGTAGCACATACCTGTAATCCCAGGGCTGAGAAGGCTGAGGCAGGAGGATCACTCTTGAGTTCAAGGCCTGCCTGGACTACATAGTGAGTTCAAAGCCAGCTGAATTACATAACAAGATTCTGTCTCAAAAAACAAAAATGGGGCCAGACATATAGTTTGGGGACATAGCACCTGGCTGGCAAGTGCAGTGTTGTGAGTTTGATTCCTGGCACCTCCCCTACAAAAAGAAATTGAAAGACTGAAATACAGTGAATGGAGAGTCATTGTTTTATTTCCAAATTGACCAGTTTGGAAATGGACAGTGCTGAGGACCTCAGGAAGAAGACTGACTCCGGGCATCACCAGTCTATCACAACACAATGGCTGCAGCTATCACAAAAAGAAGTTATCAAAGCAGGAAGACATAAGACAGTGAGCCACAGCCTTCCTCTCTTCCCTATCCTCCCTTTGCTGTCCCTGGCAGACCTGAGAGTCACTCCAGAGTCACTGCCAACCTCAGACACTAAGTATCAGCTCAACTTGCCCTAACAAGGACAGTTCTGCTGCAGAGAGGATACATTAAGAAAATGAGTATGATGAGCTAAACAAACCTTTCCTCCCTTAAAACAAAAAGAAAGAAAGAAAATGAGTATGTTTTTACAGCAAAACACATGGTTCTTAAGACTGTTTATTAACTGTCAATAAGTACAGTCACAAACTGAATTGTTATTCAGCAGCATATTCCTTTTCTGTAAAATAAGTCACCAATCCTTAATGCAGCCTTCATGACATGTAGAAGCATATACTGTAAACATTTTATACACAAACAGTAATATTACATCTTATTTTGCATAAGCTATATTTGCATAAGTGGATTCCACAATCTATCCCTTTTTTTTTTTTAGTGACAGTGCTGCGGATCGAAACCAGGGCTTTGTACATGCTAGACAGTTTTTTTTTTCTTTTTTAACCAGTTAGCAGCCTTCTCAGCCCTTTTTATATTTTAAAAGTTTGCAATAAGCACTACTTGTGAATTTGTGACAAACATATGTTTATTGTTTCAGCATAGCAATTAAGACATAGATCAGATTTAAGATAGAGATTAAGCATCTGGAATATTTCAAATATTACCACATCCTTTAAAGACATTTTATTTATTTATTTATTTATTTTTTTTTGAGACAAGATTACACTATGTAGTGCAGGATGGCCTTGAACTCACTATGCAGCCCAAACCGGTCTCAAATTCACAAGGATCCTCCTACCTCAGCCTTACTGGGATTACAGATGTGCTCCACTATGGCTAGCCTTTTGCTTTGTATCAGTTTAGTGGTAATCAGACTTGGAAAGTTGCCTATAAATACAATAATTTTGTTTTAAAATAAAATTGAGTTGGGCATGATGGTGCATACCTCTAATCCCAGCATTTAGAGAGGCTGAGACAAGAGGATTGTAACAAATTCGAGGCCAGCCTGGGCTACATAGTGAGTTTGAGACCAATATGAAACACACAGAGAGACCTTGTCTCAAAAGAAAAACAGAAAAAGTTGAGCTTGGTATTTAGATCAGGCACCTATTCTCAGTTTGCTTTTAGAAGAGAGACAAAAAGATCAGAGAGTTGACATCTGAGTTGAGACTTCCTTGACAGTAACGATCTGAGGGAACAACCTTCCAAGGCACTGTAAGCGGTCCTCGTAGACGTGATGCCCTGCTAGAGAGGCCAGGAGGGGCTGACAGGATGGATAGGATGGAGCCCGGCTGAGGAATTCGGAGATTTAAATCTAAATTTCTTGCCAGTACAGAGAAATAAAGGAAGGAGAGAGATTGCCAAAGAATGTTTGGAGGTGAGAAAGGGCTCCTAGAGGTCAAGCAGCCTGCCCATCTCCCTCCTCAAATCGGCTTATAGAGGCGAAGTGGGAGAAAAAGGGCGCGCGCTGCCTCGTTTAATCTTGGGTCTCGGCGCCCGCCGTAGATGTCGTGAGCGGAGCCGCCCGTTGCCTTGGAGCTGGCAAGACGCCGCTGGGCCTCCACTGCAGGGAAAAGACCCGGCGGCGGGCTTTGGTCACCATGTCGGTATTGGACGTTCTTTGGGAGGACCGGGATGTCCGTTTCGACGTCTCCTCGCAGTGAGTCTCCGAGAGTCCCTCGGGCCTGCCGCCTGTAGAGGACGACTGGGCGCCGACTCCAGCCGGGCCTGGGCGAGGGTGGGCGGCGGTTTGTGCGGGCGGCGCTTGCGGAGAGCCTGGCCGCAGCTACCCTCCCGGCAGTCGCCACTGTAGCAGAGCGGCCCGATTATAGTTTTGACCCCGTCCCAGACTGGCACCTTCCAGGAACGTGACCCGCACGGTGGCAGGGACTGCCCAGGACGTGGGCGTGCACTGAACCCAACTGAGTTTGGGATTTCCGTTTCGCTTGGTGCCGAGGATGTGGGCGGGGGTTCAAGAAACCGAGTCGTCGAACTAGGTCTGGAATAGCGACGCTCTTTGAGGGCCAATGCACAAAGACTTTTAGGGGGGTTGTTTTGTCTTTTTGAGATGGAGTTTCACTGTGCAGTTCAGACTGGCCTTTGAACTCACTTTGTAACCTAGGCTGGCCTCGAACTCGCTGCAATCCTCCTACCTCAACCTTCTGAGTGCTAGAATTACAGGCACCAGCAGGCCTGACTGACTTCAACATTCCGAATTGGAATTTTCTGATTTATAAGAGGAGGGGAATGGGGCTGAACAGTCTTAAACATTACAAACCGCTGGCACAGGCCTGTAATCCCAACATTCCCAGTGGCGGAAACAGGAGGATCTCGAATTTGAAGCCAGCCTGGAACAGGATGAGACCTGTCTCCAAAATCAAAAAATCTTAACAGCAAAAAAATTATATTTCTAGTAAACTTTAATCTTGTTCATCTGAACAAATCAGAAGGAGTCCTGTTTTAGAACTTTAGGCTTCTCAAAGGTTCAGAGGGTGGAAATGCCTGTTGAGATGTTAAATGTTGGAAAACATCAAACCTAAGGTTCTTAGATTAATGGTTTAGAGCTTCTTAGCCACTTCTCAGTGGATAACACCTCTTTAGAAGAAAAATGAGATGTTGGCACATTTCTCACGCTTTGACATGATTGGATACCTAAGACCAACATAGTGTTAGGTCTCTAAAGAGGTTGGAAGGAATTATTACTCATATCCTTTGACTTTTTTCTTTCATTCTTAAAGGACTCAATCCAAACACATGTCTGTTTCTTGAGCATTTTCAGTGTATTAAACATGAAATGCTTCCTATATGCTGGTTACTGTAGTGGAGACTAGAAATACAAAAATGATAGAAAATGATTTTCATCCACTCTCCTCTCCATTCTATGCAAGAGATACACATAGACAACTATAATAAATGTGGTTAACAATCTTTCTGAAAAATACAAAATAACAAACAAACAAACAAAAAACTAGAGATGATGGAAGAACAGAACAGTTTATTATGCCCAGAGAAAACTTCAAAAAAAGAATGATGTTTGAATTACACTCATCAATAAGCAAGGCTTTGTCTGCTCAAGGAGCAAGTACTCTAGAAAAGAAAAATGAGACGCCATGGTTGGAGGTGTGGCCATCGTGGGTGGGAGGCAGAGTGTGTTGCCAGGAGAGGCTAGAGGCGCTGTAGAAAAGTAGGTCAGCCAGCCTGCTTGATGACCACCGAGGAGCAGGGGAGTGATATGATGATATTGATATTCCCAGTAGCTGCTCCAGTTGGTTCTGGGGCGAATTTATTAGACTGTTCTTGTGGTCTGCTAGCTTGTTGTTTCAGAATTTTTGATTTGTTGTTTGACATTTTAGAAGTGTACTAGTCAGCAAGCTTTTCATGTATCTAATTATGTGCCACGGCCTGAAGATGTTTTGCATACAGCTTTTCTTAGCTGTTTCTTCTGTAACTACCCGCTGTCCCTTCCTCTACTTACAAACCTCTGCTGGCTCTTCTCAGGCCACAGAATTGGACCCATACGTTCAGCCAGGCATCAGAGGTTCTCTGTAACCTGGTTTCTTCATAGTTACCCAGTTGTGTAGCCCTCACTCTTCAGTACCTCTTCCTTTCCCAGGATGGTCTTTTCCTGTAAAAGACATACAGGAAAAGACCATCTTCCTTGTCCTCTCTTTAATCCTGGACTCTCCTATCTTTCCCTTGCAGCTCTTCAGATGCTACCCCTTCGACCTAGTTCCACTTACTCCAAGTGGCGCTGGTCACTCCAGCCCCGCCGAGCTGCAAGTACTCGAGGTTCTCCGCAGACCTCGCTCTACACACGTGCGCACTCCGGGCCGTGTCATTTCGCTCGCGGGCCATTTCAATGCGGTGTCTCTTCTCTCGCTGGAGAGACTGGAAGACCTTGTTATAACTGTAACATTAAAACTTTTATATTTATTTTAGACAAATGAAAACAAGACCTGGTGAAGTCCTTATTGATTGTTTAGATTCAATTGAAGACACTAAAGGAAATAATGGGGATAGGGGTAAGTATAGTTTATATTTTACATTTTTGGTTTAATTTACAAATGTTGTTTTAGCTGGAGAAAATCTGAAACAGCATCACATATAAATGTAATTGTGATAATCCCTGCACTCTCGAGGCTGAGGCAGGAGGATGGAGGCAAATCTGAGGCCAGTTTGGGCTATGTAGTAAGTTCAGGGCCAACCTAGACAGTTCAATGAGACCTATCTCAAAACAACAACAACAAAAATGAGTTATGCGAATAGAAGAGTTGAGTCCATAGAATTTTATCAGACTTAAGTAGAAAAAAGGGTAGAAATAGATATTAAACCTGTAGCCAAGGAATGCAAGTTCTCCCTCAGCGTCAGTACTGGGTCTGCCATCAGCTTTATCTAGTGGCTGTATGCAGGGTCGGAGAGAGTTCTGACCCTTGCATCAGCCTCCCCAGGAGCTGACAGGAAGGTGAATGGAATGGAGATCATAACCATAATGCTTTTTAAAGAAATCCAGGAAGAGCACTGAGCACACGCACCTAAGAAGGAACCTCCAAGTGGACACGGGAAGAGAGTTCAGTGCTCTGCTGTGAGGTCTGCAGGTTGAAGACTCGAGAATCTTGTATCTTCCCTGTCACTGACAGCAGTCATGGCTATGCCCTGGACCAATGTGCCCCCAAACCAGATGACCTTAAGGTAGAATCTAGTCCCCAGCTTGCATCCAGCAGCTTCCCAGTAGCCAGTGGTCAGCAGATCTCCAAAGCAGCATCGCTGTTCCTCAAGGGGAAAAGGCAGGAGGGGTGGAATGGCAATGATGCCTCAGGGTTTCCTGAGTGGAGAGGAGGTTGAGGAAGGAAGGAAACAGACTCTTCCTACAAGGAGGAATTGAAGAAGAATGCTCGTGTCTGAGGGAGGGAACTGAACCTCAGCGTGGAAGTGTTTACTCAGCCTTTAGAAAGCTGCTCACTTGTCAGGCCTTGCTTCTGCTCAGCAGTTGGCTTATGTGTTGGTACTGGGGATTGAACTCAGGGGTGTTAAGTTTGCAGGTTAAAAAAAATGTGCACGCTAAGATAGTTTCATCAGACAGAACCTTTGCGTCCAAAAGGATTTCCTATCCTTAGGGAACTTCACACACTGAAAGTGTCTGAGTGCTTCCTCTATATAGGCAGATGACAGGAGAGATGGATACTATCACTAAGGGCTGCTGAGCCTTCTTCCTGAGAGGAAGCCACTGTCTCCACTGCTTGTGCAGATGCTGTCAGCAGGGAGGGCCCCCCTTAAACTGTGCTGACAGTGCTTCGCTGAAGCATTCTGGCAGCTCCAGGCCAAGTGCAGGGTGAGGCATCCAGCAGCAAATAAGATGTGAATTCCCTTGCGGAAGCCAAGAGAAAGTGTGGTGGTTCTCATACAGGTGGCCAACTATTCTTACGTGATGGTTCGACCTCCAGGACAAACAAAGACTATGAGTAATAGGATATTTGTTTACTTCATGACAGACTTGTTAAGTGCAGAATCTTATACCCAAACTAGCACTTTGGAGTATGGAAAACAAAAAGCCTCCCTGGTCAGAAATCTCCATCATAGCTGCCTGAAACTCTACTTTGAATACAGTAACTCTCTGTGTATGAACTGATGTCAGAAACCTTTGTTTAACTGAAACATCAAGGAAGTGTACAGAGCCTCTGGTTGATGACCTTATCAAGAAGAGGGAAGGGAAATCCTATTCTGTTCACAACAGAAGCATGTGTATAAGCATTTGAATGAAAACTGGAAGGTGCTCCCAGCAGCAGGAATGTGCAGATGAGAGTTCTTTGAGAAGCCGTTAACAAATAGCTTTGTAATTATACAACTTCATACTAAGTTGTACACATATTCACTTGCTGGGACCCCACAACATTTGCTAACAGGACAAAAAGCTAGTACACAAAGTAGGGTGTGTGTCACACACCTGTAATTCCAGGACTCAGGAGGCTGAAGCAGGAAGATCAAGAGTTGGTGGCTAGCATGGTTTTTGTAATGAGATCAAGGTCAGGCCAGCCTGGACTTCATAGCTAGACACTTACCTCAAAAAACAAACAAACAGGGGCTGGGAATTTAGCTCAGCGGCATAAGCGCCTGCCTTGCAAGCACATGGTCATGAGTTCGATCCCTGGTATCGGTAAAAAAAAAAAAAAAACCCTCACAGCTCTCTTCTTGGTCAGTCTGAGGTAAACTGAGCTCTTGGCAGTGAATATCTGAATACTTTCTACAAGCCTCAGATTTTGTTTTTCCCTGGGATTCCGAATCATACAGTTTTATATAAAAGAGGTTTGTGTGAAACACATCTGTTTTGATACTGGACAAGAGTTCACATATATCTAATTCTGTACTGCAAAAATGGGTCCTTAATTAAGCTAATCAATTTTTTATTTGTTTGCTTTTAGGTAGATTTTTAGTAACTAATTTAAGAATTATCTGGCATTCGTTGGCATTACCCAGAGTCAATCTTTGTAAGTATTTTTTTCTAAGGAAAAAAAATCCTTTGTCAGGGAACTTTGATGATAGCTTTTGATATAAAAATAAACAAAGACAAAAGCTGTGCCATAAAATATGTGGAAATCTGAAATTGACCAAAACTTCAGAAATCTTGGGCTAACCACAGACTGCTTTGTAACACAGAAGACATGCTCCGTTCTTATTTTTCAGTCTGTAATTGTGTCTCGGACATAGATGAAATCAGAGGTTTTACACTGAATAGTTTTTGTCTTTGTTTTTGCTTGTCTTTGACAATTTGCTATGATGTGTTTCAAGAAATCCCAATGAAGGAAGATTTAAGCTCTAATGAAAGTAAAATCTTTCCATTTTTCATTGTTAGTTTTGTTTTGTTTTTCTGTTTTGTCCTTTGTCTTTTGAGACAGTCTCACTCTGCAGTTTTCACTTTGTAGAACTTACTTTGTAGGCCAGGCTGGCCTTGAACATACAGTGATCCTCTAGCCTCAGCCTCCTGGATATTGGGATTACAGGTGTGCACCACTCTGCCCAATTTATTTATTGAAAATATTAATACCAATAAATCAAAAAATTCTAGTGAATAAAATAGTTTTCAAAATAAGCAAAACAGCACTAGGTATGATGGCACACGCCTGTAATTCCAGTACTTGGGCAGCTGAGGCAAGATCACTGGAGTTCAAGGTCAGCCTGGGCTACAAAGTGAGTTCAAGGCCAATCTGAACTACATAGCAAGACCCTTTCTCAAAATAACAAAAAAAAAAAAAAAAAAAAAAAAGCAACAAAAAATATTTTTAGAGCCAGGAATGGTGGTGCACAGCTGTAATCCCAGTACTCAGGAGGCTAAGGCAGGAGGATCGTTGCAAATTTGAGAACAGCCTGGGCACAAAATGAGTTCAAGGCAAGCCTGAACTGCATAGCAAGACCAGCTCAAAAAGACCAAAACAGGGTCGAGATTTAGCTCAGCAGGATAACCACCTGCCTGGCAACCATGAGGTTGTGAGTTCAATCCCTGCTATCCCCCTCCAAATTTTTTTTTTAGTAAGGCTGTGTAGATTATAAAAAAAGCATATTTCATTCTTCCTATGTTGTTCTCATTTGTTCAAAGAAACAGAATCAAATATTTCTTTTAGTTGTTTAAAATGTATAATTATTTCCTAATAATTTTAAAATGTTGTGTTTCTATTTGTGTTTTTTTAAATATTAAAAATTTTTTATGTGTTTGTATAAAGTATTTTTTCTCTGCTTATTATATCATATTCCTTAAATTCTTTGGTTTTGATTCTAGCTATTGGTTACAACTGCATATTGAATATTACAACAAGGACTGCTAACTCTGTAAGTCTGAAAAATCTTGAGAGATACATTTATTTATATATAGTGAAAAAACATTAGATATTTAAAATTGATATTTGTTTTTACTTTAAATAAGCAATTGTTCTTCAGATCTAAACTTTAAAATGAATTTGTCCTTACAGAAATTACAAGGCCAAACTGAAGCTCTTTATATACTTACAAAATCTAACAGTGTTCGCTTTGAATTTATATTTACCAATTTGGTTCCTGGAAGTCCTAGGCTTTTTACTTCTGTGATCGCAGTACACAGGTATAGTAATATTTTATGGAATATTTTAAGGTAATCCTGTGATACAGATTTAGTGGAGCTGTGTGTGGTGGTGCATGCCTAAAATCCCAATACTCAAGAGGCTGAGGCAGAAGGATTGCCATGAGTTTAAGGCGAGGTTTTTTTTTGGGTACTGGGGATCAAACTCACAACTACACACCTGCAAGGCAAGCACTTATGCTACTGAGCTAAATCCCCAGCCTGTGAGACCCTTTCTTTAAAAAAAAATTGAATGGATACAGTTTAGACATATGACAGTATCTTCCCCAAAGCTTTATAATAAGCATACTGAAGATTCATAAAAATTTCTACTAAAGATCATGTTAAGTAAGCACCTACCAAGGTAGGTAAAATGAAATAGAGAATTGACATTCAATGTCAAGTTGAGTAATTCAACTAATGAACTAGAATCATTTTTATAGCATAAACATATTAAAAAAGCTTTTTTTTTTAAAGACAGGATCTCACTATGTAATTCAGGCAAGCTCACTATCAGTTCATAGCTCACTATGTAACGCAGGCTGGCCTCAAAACAATCCTCCTGCCTCAAACTTCTGAGTACTGGTATTACAAGTGTTGTTTGTTCAGTTTATCTCTTTCATTCCCTCAGCTCTTTTTTTGTTTTTAAAATGTGTATGTTATGGTCTTTTTAAAAGCTAGGCTGAGCTGGGCATAGTGGCACATACCTATAATCCCAGCACTCAAGAATCTGAGGCAGGCAGAAGGATCACTGTGAGTTGTAGGCCAGCCTGGATTACATAGTGAGTTCAAGGCCAGCCTGAACTACACAGGATACCCTGTTTCAAAAAGAAGCAAAAGAACAGAAAAGCTGGGCTAAAAGGACAACCTGTGTAACTGTTTAATTTGTGTTTCTTCTATTACTAGTGATGTTGAACTTTTTCATATATGTTTGGCTATTTATAGTTTTCTGTATTTGTCATGTGTTGCAAATATTTCTTAGTTTCCTAGTTTGCCTTTTTATTTTGTTGATGAATTATTTATACATATATTTGTTTTGCTTTGTTTTGGTTTGGTTTGGTTTGGTTTGGTTTGGTTTGTTTTTGTGGTGCTGGGGATTGAAACCAAGGAATACTGACCTTAAATTTTTTTAAATTTTGAGACAAGATTTCATTAGGTTTTCAAAGCCGACTTTCTGTTTGTGGGCTTTCTGCCTCAGCTTCCCAAGTAGCTGGGATTACAGCTCTGTACCACCACACCTAACATCATGGTTATTTATTTATTTGTTTGTTTGTTTTGGTCTTATGAGACAAGGTCTTGCTCTGTAGTCCAGGCTGGCCTTGAATTTGTGGTGATCCTCCTGCCCCAGCCTCCCGAGTGCTAGGATTACAGGTGTGTGGCACCATACCTGGCATTACTTTTTTACCAAGGTATAATTCATATGACATAAAATTTTACTTAACATAAAATTTACTGTTTTAAAGTATTCTGCCTTGGTTACTTTTCTCTCATTGTTGTGACAAAATTCCTGACACCCAAAGTGAAGCAAAGGAAGGTTTATTTAACCTTACAGTTTTTGGCAGTTTCAGCCATACTCAGCCAACTCCAAGACAGGGTGGCATGGCTGAGGGGCAGCCGTTCATGGCAGCCACAAGCAACAAGAGCGAAAAGGGCAAAAGCGGGGAGCACACCTCCTTCCTTCCCTTATATTGTATGCAGCACTCACACCACTAATCCCAACGCTAGATAATGAACCAATCACAGACGCTAGACTCAGCTGCCTCCATGACTACATGAGGCTTTGGGGGTGACATTTAAACAAACCACAACATATGCATTTCAGTAGTTTTAGTATAATAACAAGGTTGTACAGCTTCCACCATTATCCAATCCCAGAATACTTCTGTCACCCTTCACAGAAACCCCCTACTGCTGGCATTATTCCCATTCCCTCTGCCCACGGCCCAGGCAGCCATGAACTTACTTTCTGGAAAGCCCTGAGCTTATTTTCCATCTTTTAAGGATTGACCTGGCCTGGACATTTCCTGTCAATGGAGCAGGTGTCTGACTTCTGACTGACACAGTGTGATCAGGGTCCGTTCGTGTTGCAGCGGGCTCAGTGGCATTGCATTTCTTCTTGTGGCGGCCTGCTGTTTCCTTTTATCCACATTTTGTTTGTCTGTTCATCAGCTGATGGACATGTGGGCTGTTTGCATTTTTTAGCTATTAGAACTACTGTTGCTATGAAATCTGTGTACAGAGTTTTGTGTAAACATATTTTTTTCAGTTTTCTTGGCCATATACCTAAAGCTTAGTTCTTTATGGTTCTCAAAAGTATTATGAATTGAAAAGCTTTAAGTGGCATATGAAATGAGCATGAAAGCTGCATTTCTCTAATAGTATAAAAATATGTGTTTGCCCCCAGATGACTTACAGCATAAATCATATCCACATTTTCCAGTGGTTAAGTATTATAATAGCACTTAAGAAAATTAACCTTTATAAGCTAAATGGGCAAACCCTACTCTCTAACAAGTAATATATTAAAATACTAATTAAAGTAACAATCAGAAGTTTAAGAAGAAATATTATAAATTTATATAAGTAGATTATAATGTTATTAAAGCTTATAAAGGTCTTCAGTTTTATAAGATGACAAAATTAGCCTGTTTTCATATAGAATAAAATTAGAATTATCAACCAGGCATGGTGGTGCACACCTGTAATCCTAGCACTCAGGAGCCTGAGGCAGGAGGATTATCAAGAGTTCAAGGCTGGACTTCCGGGAGAACATGGCGGACAGATAACAGCAACTACCGGAGGCTCTCTGAAAAACTAGGCTCAGAAGCCAGGTATGGTGCGGACTAAAGAGACATAAGCAGGTGGAGTTATGCTCTGCTGACTCAGGAACGAACTCGGCTGAGAGAAACCAACTTGGAATGCAGTCCTGGTGCTAAAACAGGGACAGAAAAGTCTCGCTGCTGAGGCTGGACCCTGCACCATTGGAAGCCACGATTTGGGTTTCCCGCCGCGCAGTGGCTGGCTGCCTCTACATCAGCTCGGCAAGGAGACAGACACGCGGAAACTCTGAGAACGGGAGTCTGCGAACAGAGTCGAAAACAGGACAGGCAGGGAGGCATGTTCTGACTTGTGGCGAGGTGAGTGAGAGAAACTGACACTCCACCACAGTTTCATTCCAGCGGACTTTCTGGGCCCGAGCAGTCCTGTGGGAGCAGGGTGCGGTGGCGACTCCAGCCACACATTCCCCTCTTGGGCGGGATTGGTGAAAAGTGCCTGGCCTCCATGACGCTGCCGGAGGACCCCGTAGGCTGGCCCAAACCAGATCCCAGAGCCTGACGGAGGCCGGGAGGGGCGGGCCCCCGCGTAGGCTGCCTGGTGCGCAGTGGTGAGTGGGAACACCTAACCGGCGCAATTCGATCAGGCTGTGGCTGACAGGGAGAGAAGCTGGGCCTCTCATATAAGCTTGCATATATAAGGAACAGAGAATATGGGAAGAGGCAGCAACAAGAAAGGCTCCTCGGCCCCCAATTCTGAGAAACAGGCAATAGCGGACACCGCACCAATACACATAAAGCACCATATAGAGAGCCTCATAGACCAATTCAGGAATGAAGTTATCAACGACCTGAAGCTAGAAGTATGCAAAATAGTTAGAGAAATGCTAAGCCCCACCCAAGAAAAAACAGATGGTGGAATGGAAGAACAGAAAAAGAGGGGAGAATTGTTTGATGGAGAAAACAGAGAAAGCATAGAGTACGTGAAGCAGGTTCAAAGGGACTACCAAGAAACTAAGAAGTCTATCGAAGACTGGCATAACAGCTTGAAAGAAACTAAGGACAGACTATCTGAACTGGAGGGCAGATTTGTAATATGGGAGAATGAAATGAAAAACTTCTTAAAAATAACAAAGAAACAAACAGCAATAATACAAAGACAAGAAGATGATAAGAGGATCCATAACTTAAGGATTAAGAACATAAAAGAAGAAGTAGGGACACAAACAAATGAACTACAAAAGCTACTCACAGAAATAATCCAGGAGAATTTTCCTAATTTAGCAAAAGGTAAAGATACTCAGATGTATGAGGCATACAGGACCCCAGCCACCTACAACCCAAACAGAGCAACACCTAGGCATATAATAATAAAAATTCCAGAAATTCAATACAAGAACAGAATATTAAAAGCTGTCAGAGACAAGAAACAGACCACTTACAAGGGAGCACCCATCGGAATTACAGCAGATTTCTCTGCACAAACCATCAAATCACGAAGAGCGTGGGGGGAAATAATTCAAGCTTTGAAAGATAATAATCTCCAGCCAAGATTGAGATATCCTGCACAACTGTCCCTGGAAATTGATGGAAAAACAAGGTGCTTCCAGGATAAAGAGGAACTGGGGGAATTTGCAACCACCAATTCAACTCTACAGAGAGTATTGCAGGATATTCTAAAAAAAAGAAAAATACAAAGAATCCAGAAATAGTGGAGGCCACAACTAATGGAGCAGAGAACAAAGTGAAGAAGACAAACTGACAGCTACTGACAGAATAAGAGCTCAACAGAAAAGAGGCAGAGAAGATTGGATGATAGGAACAGCTATTTTGGAGAAAATGACATCTTTATAGGTAATACTGATTTAGTATCATCTTGTTTTGAAGTCTCATCTAGCTTTTGTCCTTCTGTCTCCAATGGTCTAAATAGGTTGTATCTTACTGGATTTTATTATGTACGATAGTATAAGCAAAAACCTTTTAAAGACAAGAAGATTATACAGAAACCATTATTCATTTTCTGTTAGTCGATTCTAAATACTCTGTAATGCTGTCATTCTCTTAAATGGTTTTACATTATTTTGATATACTTAATGCTACAGTATACGAAGTTGTACTCAAGGATTTCAAGGAAAGAGACAATATGGTAACTACTTTTAGGTCAGGATTATCTGGTGGTGAAACACTATTCTGCTTAAATGGTTATGTTTTGATCTGTGCTGTTTCATTGTTATGCCCTCTTTTATCTCAATCTCCACTCCATTATTTACTTTTTTAATACTTTTTTAAAATTTTTATCCTTTTAATTAAAGGAAAAAAAATAACAGGATATATTATAGTAACCCACTTTGACTTTCCATTACCTCGATTTAAAGCCCTGTATTACTCTCAACATCTGGTTTTTAACTGATGTTCCCCTATTCTGTTTTGCTGGATAGTATCAGGTTCGAAAATTTAGGCATCAGCTGTGAAGATAATGAGATTCATTATAACGCCCATTCTCGTTGACCTTTATCTACTTTTGAAGACCTACAATGTCTCCAGTGGTTTGGTTTTGTTGGTTTTGTTCTTTACTGTTTTGTTCAATTGTATTATAACTAATGATATAGGCAATTCTATTAGAGATAGCGGGAGGCATTATGGTAACCATTGTTGATCACCTTGTATTATGTTTTCACCTTATCTATTATGTCCACCCTTTTGACTTGACCGATTCTGTTCTGTTATGTCACATTTGGTTTTACTCTCTTCCAAAAAAGTAATAAGAACCGTGAGAGTAATGAAACCCAAAATGTGTAATAGTCTTTGTACAAAAGAGAGGAAAAGAAAGTGCTCTAAACTATATAACTGCATGTATATTTAAGTGTATAAGATAGAATATGATATCACAGAGTTTTATTGGATCATTGAACAGAACTGTTTGCAGTATCATTGATGGAATGTCCACTTTATAAGCTTTAATTTTGTGACTTGAACAATTATTTCTAAGATGACAATATGTAATCCATTAACTAGTAATTTCCTACTGTTCATTTTTTTTCTGCAAATCTGTATAACTTGTACCCTTTCTCTGCTTTTTTTTCTTTTCTCCTTAAATAAAATTAAAAAAAAAAAAAAAGAGTTCAAGGCTGACCTGAATTAAAGAGTAAGACTCTGTCGCAAAAAACCAAAAATAAAAGAAAATGAAGTAGAATTAGCTAGTCAAAAGTTAATCAAGGGGGCTGGGGGTTTAGCTCAGCAGCATAAGCGCCTGCCTTGCAAGCAGGCAGTCATGAGTTCGATCCCCGGTACCGATAAAAAGGAAAAAGACAAAAAAAAAAAAAAAAGTTAATCAAATTTGGGGTGGGGATTTAGCTCAGCTGCCTAAGTGCCTGCCTGGCAAGTGCAAGGTCATGAGTTTGACCCCCAGTATGAAGAAAAAAAAGTTAATCAGATTTTTTAATAGAGATTTTATTCTCCCTCTCTCCCTGCCCCTGCCTCTCCCTCCTCTCTTCCCCCTTAGAATCCATTTTGGAATTAGAATAAGTTTATTCTGCCTTTTTGCATGAAAGTACAGGTCATCAAGAAAAAAGTTACTGAATTTTGGCTTTTGTCAAAAGAATAATCATTTGTCAGCTAACATAGGGCAACAGTCTAGCACGGTGGCGTATGGCTTTAGCCCTAGCTCCCAGGAGGCAGAGACAGGAGAATCGCCTTGAATTTGAGGCCAGTATTGGCAACATGGAGAGTTGAAGAGCAGTCTGGACTACATAGCAAGTCCTGCTGCAAACAGCAAAAACAAAACAAAGTAAAATAGGGAAATAAAGTATAAATACTACACTGACACAACAAAGTCTACCAAAAATGTAGTCACCAAACCTCATTGGAAAGTTTCTCCATAATTGAGTATAAATAATAATGATTGTATATTTTGTAGGTAAGTAAATATTACCTAAGGAAGCCACATCTTAGGTGTGGATGGTCTTTTGTATGTTCTTCTTTGTAGAGCATATGAAACTTCTAAGATGTACCGTGATTTTAAATTGAGAAGTGCACTGATTCGAAACAAGCAACTAAGATTATTACCACAAGAACACGTGTATGATAAAATCAGTGGAGTGTGGAATCTGTCCAGTGATCAGGTATTGTATAAAGGGCTAGTGAACTTTTGACTGCTGGATTTGGGTAATCATTTTTTTTCCATATTCATCATTAGTTTTTGTATTCATTGAACTCTTCATTATTACAATAGCAGTGTAGCTCTTGATAAATTGGTGTTACAGCTCTTGGTGTGAAACAGTATTCATACATGAGTGAGTATTGGACAGTACCGGCGTGTGCTGGGGCTCACCAGTAGAGCCAGTCCAGTCATCCAGGCCCAAAAAGGCACCACCTTTGGGAGCCAGGTATGGAATCAGAAAGCACAGTTAGGAGAATACTGTTCTGGGTGATTTTAAGAAATTTTGTATATAGAGGGTGAAAATGTTTATATATTTATTGAAAATCCTTTTATGTTATTTGAAAATTATTCGGTAAATAATATTTGATATGTGGGGAGGGTTTTGGAAGGGAGATGATGCTGTTGGTAAATTAGAAGCCTATTGATTATGCAGAAAGGGTTGTTAGTAATAGGATGCCTTTGTTTTGTACGTGATATTAATCTTTATTTTACATTTCTTTATCCAAAATATTTCAGCATCTTATGTTTTCAACTAGAATTTCAGTTTATATACTGTGATTTTTTATTTGTTTACAATGCTTTAAAATTGTAGAGATACTTTGGGGTTCAAAAGCTAGGATTTCTGAGGCAGTGCAGTATCTGCATTTCACATAATAAAGCTCTTAGTGGTGAGCAAAGTATTACATACTGACTAGATGTTCCACATCCGTATAGTATATGTAATTTTTGATATGGAGATTATGGAAAGTCTAGAATGCCAAACATGTTTGATGTGTATTTCTTTCTTTCTTTTTTTTTTTGGTACTGAGGATTGAACTCATGACCTCACGTTTGCCAGGCAGGTGCTTGTGCCGCTGATCTAAATCCCCCACCCTTAATGTGTATTTTTAAACAAACTTATGGCAATTAAAATATTTGGAGACAAGGGTGTCACATTTCAATTAGTAAAAATCTTTTTAACTCTACATTGTCTTTAAGATGCTTTGTATAATGCCAAACCATAGCCTGAGAAGTTAATATCAAATAGATTTTAATAAATATCAAATAGATTTTCTGTTTTTTTTTTTTTTTTTTAAGAACACAGTATTCAATTTGTCTATTTGAGACAGTCTTGCTTCTGTAGCCCAGGCTGGCCTTGAACTCCAGGCAGTCCTCCTGCCTCCCCTCCCGAGTGCTGGGATCACAGGCCCCTCACCCTGCTTGCCACTGAGTGTGAAACCAGCCACCGCTGATGCGCAGAGAGCTTGTGTGCATCTTAATGAGAACAACAAAATGTGTATTTTCTATATTCATGCCTCCGAAGTATTCTTAAATTTTGTTTTGTTTTGGTTTTTTGTTTTGAGACAAGGTCTCGCTGTGTATTTCAAGCTGGCCTTGAACTCACTATAGAGCCCAGGCTGTCCTTGAATTTGTATCGGTCCTCCTTGCCTCATCCTTCTGAGTGCTGGGATTACAGGCATGTTCCATCACACACAGCTTCTTACATTTTTTAAAAAATCTTTTATAAATATAAAAAGTATTTTTAGCTTGTGGCCCATAAAAGAAACAGGCTGCAGTTTGCCACACTCTGCTTCAGGTGACAGTTTAGATGCCCTTTTTTGAAGCTTCCTCTGTACATCCCTTATGTAGCCAAAACTTCACACTACAATTCAAGCTAGTGCCTAAATGACATGGCTCGTCTGTGTTCCCTGTGCAAATGGTAGGCCGTACACATCTGATGGGTTACCCTTCACAGTTAGACCCTTGCCACATAGTATGATGTCTGGGGTTCTTTATTAGTTAAAGCAATGCTCCACAGGTACGAGATACAGAAAATAAGGATGTTCCCTGGCATGTTTGTACATACTTGTGATCCCAGGAAGTTGGCAGCAAGTTCCAGGCCAGCTGGGACTCCATAGTGAGCTCTAGGCCAGCGTGAACTGCATAGCAAGACCCTGTCTCAAAAAGACAAAAAGAATTATTCTGTTTAAACTGAGATGTGGCATCGTAAATGGTACATGGTAGAACACCATAGGGGCTGGTTTGTTTTGCATAACAGTTTCTTGGGGGAGACATATATGCTCATACCATTCTTGTTCACGTATCATTGAGGAAAAAGATTACCTTCTCTGATGTTTTCAACTTGGCCATCTGAAAACAGAGCTTTTAAGGTCTGGGTTTAGTTGGTAATTGTTGTATGGCCAACCTCAAAGTACAGAATAAGGAAAATTTCTCTGAATATTGGGGGGAGTAGAAATTGAGAATGATAAGTGGTAGAAATTATCTTGGTGTCATGTTGTTTAGTGTTACAAGATTTATTGAAGCTGGGTATGATGGTGCACACCTGTAATCCCAGCCCTTGGCAGAAGGATCATTGCAAGTGCAAGGCCAGCCTGGGCTCCATAGTGAGTTCAAAGCCAGCCAGAACTACATAGTAAGATCCTTTCTCAAAAAAAAAAAAAAAGGTTTTTGAGACCATTTAGCTAATATACTGAAATAGTTTTGAATAGAGGTTCACAGGTCATAGCACTAGAGAACAGTTTTGATCTATAGTTAATGTTGAAGAGTCATAAAGTACTCTTGTGGATTAACGAGCTATTACATGTTTTGTCTTCTCCCTTTGTACAATTCCTTTGCTTTAGCTCATCTCAGATTTTTTGGGAGTGGGAACATGGTCTTAGTATATGTAGTTTAAACTGGCTTTGAATTCACGTGTAGTCTAAGCAATAAACTCACAGACATCCTTCTGTCTCAGCCTCCTGAGTGCTGGGATTACAGGCATGCACCACCTCGCCTGATGTTATCTTAGATTTTGAGTAATAATTATAGTGAGTTCCATTACTTATAAAATGTTTATTATATACTAGATATTCTGCTGAGAGCTTTATTTAATCAAATTCTCATTTCACACTTGACAAAATTCACAAAGAAGAAAGTTACCCATGGCTCGACAACACTGTTTTACATTAAAATATTAAAAACAACAGTGTTTTAATGTTTAAACTCTTCTGGTGGCTCCATGATCAGTTCCAAAGTCTGGATCTTCAGCTATCTAATTAGCCTGCCAGTGAACAGAGGAGTCGCAGATATTCCACAATACAGATAGTTTTGATAGTGTTCTGGTTCTGTGATGATCAAAAATATATCCTTCTTGTGTTTAGGAGAAAAGAATAGATGTCCAAATAAATGATCACTGATTTAGTTCTCATTCTGCTTTACAGGGAAACCTAGGAACTTTTTTTATTACCAATGTGAGAATTGTATGGCATGCAAATATGAATGACAGTTTCAATGTCAGTATACCGTACCTGCAGATTGTAAGTACATGCATTTTGGTGACCTCATTCAAATATAGAATAATTTTTGTTTTGTTTAGTTTTTCGAGGCAGGCCTTTCTCTACCTTCCACACTGGCCTTGAACTCATTGTGTAGCCCTGGCTGGCTTGAACTCGTGGCAATCTTCCTGCCTCAGCCTCCAGGGTACTGGAATTACAGGTGTATGCCACCACACCCAGCTGGCCAAACCTATCTTTGGCTAAATTTTTTATAACTAGTTTCCTTTAAAATAGATGATTATTCATTAACCAAATATTGAGCACCCATGCTGTGCAAACCCAGACAATTATGAAAATCGTGAACCAATACGTGGTTCCTGCCATGGAAGACATTTCGAAGTCTGCTGAAGAAAAGTAACTTATTAAAACAGAAAATCAGAGAACTGGATAGGAAGAAAGGGATTTCTGATCATGTAGAGAAATACGGGACGCTGTAATCCCTGTTGGGAAGGTGCCTGAGTTCACGGTATTTGCTGTACTGTGTTTTGCTCCTTGCAGTTTTATATTGCACTGGTGTGTGCCATAGCTTGCCTACAGTGCAGTGAACAGCCTTGTGCTTTCTGTTCTTCAAATAGAATCTGTTTGACTGTTTAAGAATCGAGTTGCTGGGCGTGGCCTCCGTGTGAACTCAGCCTGGCCGCAAAGGCTTGCAACCTGATCTCAGGACAGTTTGTTGCTGCTGCTGTCAGGGTCTAACCTCAGCTTGCGCCTCACCGCTCACGCATGCGCATAATACTCCGTAAACCCCTCGATGCTTCATGCTTCCGTGTGAGGAGCTGTGTCACCCACTTCCAACACTGTCAGGGACAACCATGGTGCTATCTCTGCAGGGGCTTTCAAAGGAAACGGGGACTGTTTGAGAAAGTTAAAACTAAGAATAAGTTTTAAAACTTATATTAAAGACTTGTTGGATAATAAAAACTTTTCTTTTTCTTTTCATGTTATATCTAGCGTTCAATAAAGATTCGAGATTCAAAATTTGGTTTAGCTCTTGTCATAGAAAGCTCTCAGCAGGTAAGATAATTTACATTTTTATTGGTAGCTATTACATGAAGGATATAAAATGTTTTAAGGCTTGTAGTAATTATCTCCATAAGAAGAATCCTGTGTGTGTTTTTTGTTATACAAACATAATCACTATTTTGTTTTTGTCTTTTTGAGAAAGAGTTTCACAAAGCAGTTCAGGCTGGCCTTGAACTTGTTTGCAGCAATCCTCCTGCCTCAGCCTCCTGAGTGCTAGGGTTACAGGTGTGTGCCACCATACTTGGCCATAATCACTATTATCATTATGTTCATCACTTATTCATGCCAGAATCGAAGCACCACCCTCAATACTTTCCACACATTTTCTCAGTGTTAGAACTCCCTGCTGTTAGTACCTCCTCATTTTATACTCAAAGAAACTGAGGCCTAGCGAAATTAGGAATGTCACCCATGGTCTAACAATTACAGTACTACATCGGTTCATGAGGGCTTCTGTTCCCAAACAATTTAGTTCTGCAACAAAAGTGTTAGGCACAATTTTGCTTCTGTTCTCAAACTCAGTGCTGGTCAGCCAGCACAATCTGGCCAGCTCCCAGAGTCACAGAGCGAATTAGGCCTGTGAACCAATGCAGCACCGTAGTAAGTGGTGTGGCCAGGCTTGGACTTCAGGTCTGACTGATTCACAAGACTTTGAAAATAACAGATAGATACAGACACATAACAGATTCTCTTAAGATTTTATCTCTCACACACAGATTACAGTAAGTCCTGACTTAGCAAAGAGGTCTGTCCCTGGAGGATGATGCTAAGTCAGATTCATTCTTAAATCTGACAGAGTCTTATAAGCCTTTGACCCAGATACACAGTCTAAAGCATAAACCAAGATCACACATGAAAAGACTGAGTAAACTGTTTTTGCTTTTACAGTTAGAATGTTGGCTCGGAGTTAGGGTGAGCTACTTCTGTGATTTGTTCACACCTACAGATAATCCCAATGCAAGGTCTGTTGGTATCTGTGAAAGTCTGCTGCTCAACTGTTCATAAGGCAGGGACTTACTGTCTACAGTATCTAATTATAAAGTGCTATGCTCTCACTTCATGCTTTTTTTCAAAAATATCTTTAAATAAAACATTTATAATACATTTTTTAGGCAGGTACTGTGGTGAATACCTGTAATCCCAGCACTTTGGAGGCTGAGGCAAGAGGATCACTGCAAATACCAAGACAGCTTGGGATATATAGTGAGTTCAAGCACAGCTGGGATTACATAGTGAGACCCTGTCTCAAAAAACAAACAAAAATTTGTTTTCTTACTCTTCAAGGAGATAGCCTTGGAGAAGTCATTGGTTTTCTCTTTTTCTTCTCTTCTCCTCCTCCTCCTCCTCGTCCTCTTCTTCTTCTTCTTCTTCTTCTTCTTCTTCTTCTTCTTCTTCTTCTTCTTCTTCTTCTTCTTCTTCTTCTTCTTCCTTCTTCTTCTCTCTCTCTCTCTCTCTCTCTTTCTCTTTCTCTTTCTCTCTTTCTTTTATTTTTTGAGACAGAGTCTCCCTGTGTAGTTCAGGGTGGTCTTGAACTTACTACATAGCCCAGGCTGGCCTCCTGCCTCAGCCTCCTGAGTGCTGGGACTACAGGTGTGCACCACCACACTCAGCTTCTTTTCTTCTGAATGTGTAGTTATTCTTTCTCACGCCCAGCTCACAGGAACTATTCTCTGGGCCTTCACAGTCCACCATGTGCTTCTTAAATGATGCACTGTGGTGCAGCTTCAGAATAATCCTGGGGGGTCAGGCGAGAGCAGCAAAGGGTGAAACCCAGCTGGCCGCACATCACCACTGCTTGAAGTGCTTCTGCGACTACACAATGGCTGAGTGTCATATTCTGTTTTCACATGGGCCTGCAGAGTTTCAGAGGAAGGGGTTTAATTTCTTACAGATAGCTTAAAGGTTTTGCTATACAATAAGGATGATTAGCTCTGTGCTTTGTTGTGCACTATACACACCATTCCTCAGTCCTACTTTTTTTCTTGTAGAGTGGAGGATATGTTCTTGGCTTTAAAATAGATCCTGTGGAAAAACTGCAGGAGTCAGTTAAGGAGATCAATTCACTTCACAAGGTCTACTCTGCCAACCCTATATTTGGAGTGGATTATGAAATGGAAGAAAAGGTAATTTGTTCCAAGTGTGAAATACAGAGTTTGCTCCATTGAGCGCCACCTGTAAGTTCTGATATAAACATACTGTGTTCAATTTTACTTTAAACCATTTTGAAAACGGTGGCTATAGAAGCCAAGCAGAGGCCGAGGCCAGAGGCTTCACTGTGAGTTTGAGGCCAGCCTGGTCTATGTAAGCAAGATCCTGTCTCCAAAAAAGCCAAAAAATAAGTAAGTCAGTGAATAAATAAAATGAGGACTGTGGAGACTGCTGAAGGGAGTGGGCCACCACCTTGCTGAGAGATGACTCCCGCCGGCCGGCTGAGCGGCCTGTGCCTTAGTCTCTGTGGCCTGGCTCCTCTCACCGAGGACAGCTGTGCTCTCTCACCCAGTCAGCTTTGTTTGTATCCTGCCTCAGCCTCCCATCAACACAAGATGCCATCTTCTTCTCTACTGCTGCCAAGGCAGCACCTCTGAGGTCACGCCTGTCCTGTGGGTTCGTGTCCCAGCCCACCCCCGCCATTGTTTTCAAGTATTTTGGTGCCTTCTTTTGTTTTGAGCCCTGTTGTCTTACCCACATTGGTCTCGAACCCCTGGGATCGCAGGAGCAATTCTCCTGCCTCAGCCTTCCAAGCACTAAGCTATCAGTGCATCTCCATGGTGAGCGAGCTTTGCAGGGGTGTGGGGGGAGGTTGGCTGTCATCCCACATACCTGCTCTTTGCCTTCCTCATGGCTTCCAGTTGCTGCATGAGGCCTGGCACTCCAGGTCTGTTGGCATCACTCACCTTTCCAGCTAGACCGTCTGTCACTGTCACCACTGTCCTCACTGGGGCTTTCGCTGTGTGCTCCAGGGCTGCACCAGCACCCCCCGCCGTCAGAGGCGCCCTCGCCATCTGCTGGGTCGCCATCGCCCTGGCTATGGGTCCCTTTGCTGCCCCACAGTGCCCTTGAGCTGGTCTCCTTTGTGCCCCACTGGTGCTTGCTCACCCTGTTGGCCACAGGGCAGCCATGATCTCTGCCTGTCCCTGTGCCCAGACCACAGCTGGGACCACAGCAGGCAAGCCGGTCCTTGCCCAGTCCCTTCTCTGTGCCTCGGTTCTGTCACCTGCACCTCCAGTGTCTGCAGCCGGACTTTTGTGTATGCTGCAGGGTCACTCTGATCTTGGCATCCTGTCAACTTCTCTCACTTCTGAACACTGTCAAATAGTGTCACGGGGATGAGCATCCCAATAAAGTAAGTTGAATTTATCATTTCAGGGTTTATCGTAGTAATTTAATTATGTGAATAATTACCCAGGTCAGTAAGATAGTCAGGGCCTGGAGTGAGCATTTCACCCCAGGCCGCCGGGAAGTCAGCTCCTTTTTTCCTCAAAGCAGCGCCTTTCTGTTCCATCTATTACGCATCTCCGGGCTGGTCAGAGTTAACTGTACTCAGAACCTTGGAGTTTGCCTGTGTCCTTCCATTGTCTCGTTTTGAACATTCATTCAGTTATCCTACTCTCTTTCCCATTCCTATCCTTTTCTTTCCATTTAAAAGTCAGTTATTATTGTTTGCAGAATAATGTCATGGAACCAGCATAGTTCTTGGAACCTGTTAATTTCAGTTTCACAGTTTATTTTTGATCCTAGGCAAATCTGAACTTAATCTTTCTCATAACATGGAGATAATCTTATCTCACAAAGTTGTCATTTGGAGAATTTTTTTTAAGACAGGGTCTCACTATGTAGTTCAGGCTGGTCTGGAACTCAGTGTGTAGCCCAGACTGGTCAGATTTGTGTAGGATCCCTTCCTTTTTCAGTAGTTTTGTTTTTATAAAATAAAGCATATCAGTGTATGAATCAAAGGGTCGTCATAAAGAGAACTCTGCTGCCCACCCCATAAGTGACCCATAGCCTGGAAAGGAACCATATTCTGACTTGAAGGGATCACTTCTGTGTCTCTTCAAACAGAATTTAGTGTCTTAACTATTCTTTTTAGACATGAAGTTCAGTTGCATTTAGCATAGCCACACTGTTGTTCTGCTTGGTTTTTGTGGTTTTTTGAGACAGGATCTTGCTGTGTAGCCCAGCCTGGTCTTGAACTTGCACAGTCCTGTTGCCTCAGCCTCCCAACTACTGGAATTGTAGACCCAGTTAGTATTTATAGTTCTTAAGTAGATGATTTTTCTAAGTGATTTGCTTACTTACTAGTGTGTTGTGCATTTTGACATCTGTGGATTTTTTTTAGCCACAGCCCCTTGAAGCTCTGACAGTTGAACAAATCCAAGATGATGTAGAAATAGAGTCTGATGATCACACAGATGCTTTTGTGGTGAGTGTCACAAAGGAGACATTGAGTTTCTTATGATTTGTATCTGAGTCATGTTTAATTAAAAACACTGTAAAACTTGTAGAATTGTTTTACACTGTAAAACCCTGTAGAATTTGAGCCTTTTGATGTGACTTTAAGAGTAGGTTTTTTTGGTGGTGACTTAGAAGCTATAAAATGGCGCACCTCTGTAATCCCAGCTCTTAGGAGGCTGAGGCAGGTGGATCATATGGGTTTGAGGTTAGCCTGGGCTTCAGGATGAGTCCAAGGCCAGGCTGAACTGCACAGCAAAACTCTGTCTCAGAAAGAAAAAAAATATTTTTTTAAGTGAACTCGCAGGGAGTCTTCTACCTCAGCCTCCCAAATGCTGCGATTATGGGCGTATACCACTGTGCCGGCTAGAAAGATATATATTTGAACAATAAAGTTTTCTTAATTATTCTTTCTACATTCTGTAGTCTGTGATTGAACCAGAATACCTCGCGGGTACCAATAATTTCAAAGGTGTGAAATTAGTAACATATTAATTAAATTAAATTATATATTAGTAAATATATAATTATATTAATTATAAATTACTGTTCCCTCCAGCTCTATGCCTTTGCTGACACATTCATTGCTTTTTGCTCATTAGCATCCTCTTCAAAGGAGAGACATTTTATAGCTTCTAAATTATTCTGTTTGTCTCCTCTCAGTGCTAATCACACATTAGTCGCACAACATGCTTGTGTAGAGTTTAAAGCATACACAATGTTCAGCATCAATAGAAGTAAGTTTTGCTGTCAGGATGGTAGAGCTGAGGGAGGAAACCATGTAACCCAGTAGCAGTGGGAAGTGCATTTAGTAACAAAATCATTCCTGAGCCCCCTGCTCTGTATGTCAGCTGGATGACATGCCGTTTCCTTTTTCTTCCAGGCTTATTTTGCTGATGGCAATAAGGTAAGCACACTTTACATGGAGTATACTCTGTCAAGTTTCTACATGCTAACATGGAGCATTGGCAAACTTATGTGAAACCTATTTCTTGTTTTTTCCCTCTTCCTTGCCGCCTTCTCTGTTCATCTCACCCTCTTACCTCCCCCAAAGCAACAAGATCGGGAACCTGTGTTTTCAGAAGAACTGGGGCTTGCAATAGAGAAACTGAAGGATGGATTCACACTCCAGGGACTTTGGGAAGTGACGAGTTGATCTTGAATTGAACTGGATTTCTATTTAGAGCTGTCTGGAGATTAAAGATACTAGTCACCTGCCGTAAGGCATGGAGTAGTTTTTATACTTACGGTTTTATAGTTAAAGCTTTTACCAAAGAAATTTTTAACAATTGTCGAAAAATTCATTTTAAAAACTGCCTATTTTCTAAAACTGATACTTAAAATTGTAATTAAAATGTATATAGTTTGTAAATGTTTATTCTTTATCTAAAAGTTATAAAGTATTAGTTTTCAGATATCAAATGACTGTATCATGTTGGGTTTAATAAAGAATTTATGCAGCACCATTTAATGTTTTGAAAGTATTATTTGAAATAAGACTTCATGAAATACAAACTACAATCATTTTTAGGGGACCATTTTATAACTACATATGTATCAATCCCTCTGTGATGTTTCAGATGCTAGTTTGTAACTAATTTCAATATAATTTTGGCAAGAATACACTTATTTTATAAAGAAATATAGTTTTGTTCTTTTATTGATTTTCTTCTTGTTTGTATTTTGTGAAACTTCTTTGACATTTTCAAAAATAATATATTATTTTTCTGATTTCTTAATTAAAGGTAAAATTTGCCAACCTCTGACATCATTCCATATTTTTTGTTAAATAATTGAAATTAGCAAAATAGCCCTCTTTCTGTAGTGGGAAAAGAATGTATAAAAATATATGAAAGATACATAACTGTATGTACATCCACATATACTGTACAGCCTTCTGCTAATCTGTTTATTAAAAATCAGTGAATAGAAGCTACAAATAGGTTTCCTCATTTAAATGGAAAAGGATTTCTACATATTTAAGAGATAATATTTTTTTACTGCTTTTTAAGCAACAGACTTCATAAAATTGCCATCTAGTAAGAAATAATCTCAAATGTCATATCTTGGTGTTTACATCTGACTCACTAATCTTTTTAAATGTTAGGTGTTACGTGTAGAGAGAAATGAGTCATTTATTGTTTTAACCAGGGAGCAGCTGTTAGTTTTTTCTAGCATGTTAAACCTTTAGCGACGTCTATAAATGGAAAAAGAATCAATGAGCTCTTCTTTCAGCTGTTGCTTTAGCAGCTGACAGTACCATTGACTTTACTGTGATGTAAAATAAAAGAAAAACTTTTACTCATTAAGAGAGACCTTGAAGTTTTAAAATATGTAATTCCCTGATTGGGGCATTCATTCATTCAACAAATATTTATGAAGCACTCACATAGCCTATGAACTATAGCACTGAACAGCTTGAAGAGAAAGAATCCCTGACTTTGTGGAACTTCTGTTATTGTGGATATGGTTCATAATACTTCCCTCCCGCTCAAAAAAAAAAATACGCTGGCTTGGTGTGGTGGTGCACACCTGTAATGCTAACACTTGGAAAGCCGAGGTAGGAGGACTGCCTTCAATTCAAGGCCAGCCTGAATTACATAGAAAGACCCTGTCTCAAAGAAACCAAAACAAAATAAATGAAATTACAGTATTTCTGCAGTGCTACTGAAAAAATGATCACATAATAAACTTTCATAAAATACATATTACCGGGCTGGGGATATAACTTAGCAGCACAGCATCTGCCTGGCAAGCATGAGGTCATGAGTTCAAGTACAAAAAAAAAAAAAAACCAAAATATATATATATATATATATATATATATATATATGTAGAAGAGCAGCTCTTTCAAATTATTTCCACATTCCATAATCCTCAACAATTCATTATGATCCCCATTATATGTAATTAAATAGAAAAGGCCTGTTTTCCAAATTGTATGGCTGATATAGCACCTCATCCTGATTTTGTTGGTTTCTAATAACATTATTCTCGTGAGGTTGCTTCTGTCTTTAACTTTTTGAAGAACATAAAATTACAAAATATCTTAGTAATCAGTTTTGTATGTCTGTAGTCTTTTTCTTCTTGGTGTTGACTTTTAACTATTCTCTGGTCTTGACTCCTTTAAATTTTTTTAACCTTTGTTTTAGTTTTTCTTATTTTTTGCCTTGTTCAACAAGGCAGGGTATAAATAAATTTTATAATTCGGTTCTAATTACAGTTTTCCTTCTTAAGAATAAAGGTAAGGGCCGGGGATTTAACTCAGCAGCCTAAGTGCCTGCTTGGCAAACTGGAGGTTGTGAGTTCGATCCTGGGTACTAAAAAAAAATAAAAGTAAATTAGGTCCCGGGGATATAGCTCAGAGGCACAAGCATCTGCCTGACAAGTACAAGGTCCTGAGTTTGACTCCCAGTCCGAAAGAAGAAAAATAAAAGTAATTTAGAATGTTTTAGGAAATTAGCAGTTTCTCTGCATTTATTTTCACTTCTGATGAGGTATCATTTCAAAGGTTTGATGAGAGTATAATTATAATGTATAAGTAAATATCTAAGTTTTCTACTTCGAAGAGAAAATTATATCCCACTGTTTGGAGTAAAAGGTAAAACTTGTGAAACTGTTTTTGGAAAGGTGATGCTGCTTATGAGAAGTCAAATGAACTCACCTCACACTCTTGGCTTTTGCATCATTAATTCAGGGAGCCAAGTAGTTTACCACTGGACAGGTTTTAGAAGAGTGACTCATTTTTACGATGCATTTTCCTGTTAGTTCAATAGACATTTTTCTCATAGCGGCCTTTAGAAGCATATCTGCTAGTATTTCATGTGTCTTAGAGCTTCCCACATCACTTAACTGTCCTGTTTCTTAGCTGTTCCCTTAGTGATTGAAAGTTCCAGTTGTTACTTTCAATCTGTAGCAGCTGCAAGAACAACTCTTCTTTCCATACCAGCTCTCCTAAATTCCCGTTGTTCGCGTTGGTATCTATATTTAGCTGGTGGGATTAAATTACACAGGCTCCAAGCTGGGCCAAGCACACGGATCTGCCTTTTTACAGCTAGACCCGTGTGCTGCAAGGAGCTAAGGCCCTCAGTGTCCCCTTCCTCACCCAGGTCACCCCCAGAATGGATTCCCAGCGGGAACTTGCCGAGGAACTGCGGCTTTACCAATCCACCCTTCTCCAGGACGGTCTCAAAGATCTCCTGGATGAGAAGAAATTCATCGACTGCACCCTAAAAGCGGGTGACAAAAGTCTTCCCTGCCACAGATTGATTCTGTCAGCCTGCAGTCCTTACTTCCGAGAGTATTTCTTGTCCGACATAGCCGAGGAGAAGAAAAAGGAGATGGTACTGGACAACGTGGACCCCGCAGTGCTGGACCTGATCCTCAGATACCTGTACTCCGCCAGCATCGACCTCAACGACGGCAACGTGCAGGACATCTTCGCCCTGGCCAGCCGCTTTCAGATCCCCTCGGTGTTCACGGTGTGCGTCTCCTACCTGCAGAAGAGGCTGGCTCCGGGCAACTGCCTGGCCATCCTGCGGCTCGGCCTCCTGCTGGACTGCCCGAGACTCGCCCTCTCGGCCCGGGAGTTCGTGTCCGACCGCTTCCCGCAGATCTGCAAGGAGGAGGACTTCATGCAGCTGTCTCCGCAGGAGCTGATCTCCGTCATCTCCCACGACGGCCTCAACGTGGAGAAGGAAGAGGCGGTGTTCGAGGCGGTGATGAAGTGGGTGCGCACGGACAAGGACGGCAGGGCCAAGCACCTGGCCGAGGTGTTCGACTGCATCCGGTTCCGCCTCATGGCCGAGAAGTACTTTAAAGACCACGTGGAGAAAGAGGAGCTCGTTAAGAGCAACCCAGAACTGCAGAAGAAGATCAAGGTTTTGAAGGACGCTTTTGCAGGGAAGCTCCCCGAGCCCAGCCGCGCGGCCGAGAAGCCGGGGGCCGGCGAGGTGAACGGGGACGTGGGCGACGAGGACCTGCTGCCCGGCTACCTGAACGACATCCCGCGGCACGGCATGTTCGTCAAGGACCTCATCCTGCTGGTGAACGACTCGGCCGCCGTGGCCTACGACCCCGCCGAGAACGAGTGCTACCTGGCGGCGCTGGCCGAGCAGATCCCGCGGAACCACTCCAGCGTGGTCACCCAGCAGAACCAGGTCTACGTGGTGGGGGGACTCTACGTGGACGAGGAGAACAAGGACCAGCCCCTGCAGTCCTACTTCTTCCAGGTGAGGAGGCCTGCGTGGCCAGAAGGGGAAGGAGGTCAGTTACTCCAGCTGCTGGCCTTTTACTGACCCCCCGAGGCCCGCTGCAGTCCTCTGGGCTGGTGCTGGTGAGCGGGACACACGTCGTTTGGGTGCTTGTCAGTACTTAGTAAAAGGTTTGGTGAAGACTGAGGTCCTGTTTAATAGGTAACTCGTGACTCAAGATTTTCTTTGTACTCCTTTGCCCAGGATATCATGTTTATTCAGTAGTTGATTGTATCCTTCAAAGCCTGATATTTTAGTAAAATCTAATCTTGTACACCCTAAACTGAAAATAGATTGTCTGTATCTAACTCAAATTATCTCTTCCCCAGATCAAAGTACTATACACATTACAAAAAGGGAATAATTGGCTGATTTTCTAGTCTTTTCCAAGTTTCCTTCTTTTTCCTTAGTTTGAAGTTCTTGGAAGTAGCATTTCATCTCTTACTTATGGTTTCTGCCTAAAATATAATTTTGTTGAAAATGAAAAGAGCATGTGCATGTATTCTGTACACTTGCAGAAAATCTGCACAAGTGTCACCAACTTGACTTTATTATATTTGGAGGTTTTGGTTTATACTGTCACATTTATTTGGCTCAGAGGTATAGTTAGACATGTTTTTGTGACCTACAGGCACTTCCAGGGAAACAAATCATCCTTTGGAGTTTGAAGGGCATGTGCTTCATAGTCTCATTGTATTCATCTCTGAAGAAATGATGCCTTAATCTTTACAATACTTCCTAATTTAGCAGTGGCACAGAAGGTTTTGTTTAGGTCATGGCTAATGTGGCCTGCAGCTGAGGGGGACTTGAGATGAAAAGGCCAAGGATAGGCAAGTGCAGAATGTCACACCACAGTCACAGCAGGCTCTCAGAGTGTACCACACCGCACAGTCACAAAACACTACCTTTAACCAATCTCTTCTCAGCTTTTTAAAATTTTATTTTATTTTCAAATCAATTTTTATTTCAAAGAGAAAAAAGAAAACAAAATTTCAAAGTGTCTCATCTTGAAAAATGTTGTAATACATATAAATCATGCTTCTTAATTTTCAAATTCCACTGAAAAATGTCATTAACTATTTGAATTTGTCATTAAGAAAAGTTCCTAAGCCCTAAATTTTTTGGATAAACTCTAGAAAGAGGAAATTAAAAAGAAAACAAAAACAGAACAAATTCATTTAAAAAAAAAAAACTATCCATATATTCAGTAAGTAAAACTATCAAAATACAGAAAGACAATAGATAGAAATCATAAATAGTTATAACCATAGAATAATGTTTGAAAACTCCTAGAGTTTTAAATTCCATCTTACATTTGATTTATATAGCCGGAACACTGTCCTTTTGCTTATATTTTATGATCTTCCATCCTATTAGTCCCTTTACTTTTATTGATATGGCTTCTTATTTCTGGCTCAAAAATTCTGCTCGCAGTTGTTTGAAGCTACTAAAGCCATTATACAAAGTTGGGTGGCCAACTCCCTGTCAAAAACAGTGGAACAAGATGCAGGGATAAAAACATCTGACTGTGAAGAGGGTTGTGACTCACTAGGAAATATTTATATGAGGGCTGGGAATTCAGCTTAGTGGTAGAGTGCTTGCCACCACGCATTAGGGCCTGAGTTTGATCATCAGCCCTGGGGCGGAGGGGACTGTAGAAGAATTTTGAGTTTTATATTTTCCTGTTGGTCACCTGTGTTTAAAATGCATTACTGGGGTTGGGGATTTAGCTCAGCGGCATAAGCACCTGCCTTGCAAGCAGGCAGTCATAAGTTCGATCCCCGGTACCGATAAAAATGAAAAAGACAAAAAAAATTTTTTTAAAAATGCATTACTTTAGGAATAACTTGATCTTTGACTATATGCTATAAATCGATGATGAGCATGTCTTGCTTTAGTAACAGGGGTTTGGTTTTTTCCTCCACAGAATTAACAAAACAGCACCTGGTTCTACAGTAATCTATGTCCAAATCCTATTTAACAATAAGGAAATGGGGCCTGGGATTTAGCTCAGCGGCATAAGCACCTGCCTTGCAAGCAGGCAGTTATGAGTTTGATACCTAGTACCAAAAAAAAAAAAAAAAAAAAAAAAAAACACAGAAAGTAGAACCTGGATGTTTATTTGTTTTTTTTTTTTGTTTTGTTTTGTTTTTTGTTTTTATCGGTACCAGGGATCAAACTCACGACTGCCTGCTTGCAAGGCAGGCGCTTATGCCGCTGAGCTAAATCCCCAGCCTGAACCTGGATGTTTAAACTTAAATGGCTTGACAGCTCATCTGCAAAAGACCCCAGCAGAAGCCACTTTACTCTGACCAGCAGTAGAAAGTGCCCAGGGGCAGAGATGGGCCACAGTACCATGGGAATGGAACCATCAAATGTGGGGCCATGACAGAGCCAGTTCCATTTTTAAAAACAAACTATAACTTTAGATAGCTTGGACTTGAACATCACCAAAAAGCTTTGAGCAAATTTGAGCAAATTATTTAAGCATTCTGTGCATCAGTTTTCAAATCTAGGCCAGGTGTGGTCTGCACCTAATAATCCTAACACTCAAGAAGGCTGAGGCAGAAGGATGGGAGTTTGAGCCCACATTGGATGACATGGCAAAACCTTGTCTTAACTGCCTGTCCTGGAGACTAAGTGAGATTACCTGTCTAAAGCATTTTGCACAAAGCCTATACATGTTTATACACACGGCCAAAGCTCTATACATGTTTAGTATTATTTACACTATGTTATGTACCACTTTTTTTTCAGTGCTGGGGATGGATCCTAGGGTCTCACATGTGCTTAGCAAGGCCTCTACCACTGAGTGCTATCCCCAGCTCTGTATCACTTTTATTTTATTTTACTTTATTTATATTTTTGGTTTTTAGAGACAGTCTTGCTATGTAGTGCAGGTTGGCTTTGAATTCACAGCAATCTTTCTGCTGCAGCCTCCAGAGTGCTGTGATTACAGGTGTCTGCCACCAAGTCCAGCTCTGTACCACTTTTTAAATCAAAGAATGTTTTCAAAAACAAAAACAGCTAAATGTTCAGGTTATCAAATTGCAAAGCTAACAGTGTACACAAGGGTTTAAACACCACCTGTCCCCCTGGTGCTTCGCTTAACTGAGGTTACAGACCAGGATCTCGGCTTCCACACACCCCATCCCTGTCAGCGTCCTTCCCGATTCCCAGCTATGCTTGGTATTCAGTGAGTCTGCGTTTTAGATATTTTTCTTCTGCTACCTACGAGTGGCACCAGAGAGAACAAATCTGCAGCTACACTTAGAAAATTGTTGTTTCTTAGTGTCTTAAAATGCAAAGTGAAACTGTAAGGTGACAAACAGTGGGTGCTTCTGGATGCAGAATCCCCACCCCTGCCTCGGCACAGCAGGGCCACTGCAAACTTGCAGCAGTGCCCACAACAGAACCCAGCTACTTCCTGCTTAGCAAAATCAACTAGAGGGAAGTGATTTCAACGAATACCCCTACAAGACTAAAACAATGCCACTAACACCTGCCTATTGCAAAATAACAAAGCAAAACAGAGGGAAACTAAAAATGTGGAAAAGAGAAAAGGGATTGCCTGACATCCCAGTTGTCTGTGGCTTGAGCGACAGGTCCAGCTGTCCCGGGTGCTGCCGTGGAGACCGTGTTAAATATAGCATCCAGGGCTCATTCACACGCTGTGTCCCTTGGCCGTGATGACCTCTTTCCCCAGTGTCCTCAAAGTATTTTATTATTATAACTCTTAATACATATTATGTATTAATTAATAGTATTGTTAGTGATCAAAATGATTGATTCCTTGTTTTGAATCTGAACAAGACAACAAGGAACAAAATAAGTTTAACCTCTGGTCATTCTATTTTACTCTCTCCCTTCCTGAAGTCTTGAAGATTTTCTTAAATTTTAGAGGGCCAGCTAGATTTTTCTCACTCTTTTTGGTAATTCTGAGCAATAATATAATGCTCTGGGGGTGTAGTTTAATTTGAGAGATTTTGACTATTGCAATGAGTTAAAAGCCACATTTAAAGTATAGCATACTTTTTGGTACCTTTGTAAGTTTTTCCTGTCAACCTCCACAATCCCTCCTATGTGTATTTCTTTTCAGCTTGATAACATAGCATCTGAGTGGGTTGGACTTCCACCTCTGCCTTCAGCCAGGTGTCTCTTCGGTCTGGGAGAGGTAGATGACAAAATCTATGTAGTTGCAGGCAAAGACCTTCAAACAGAGGCTTCGCTGGACTCAGTATTGTGCTATGATCCCGGGTGAGTTGGCAGGACATTCCCGTCCCCTAAGCAGTCAGGATATGATTGCCTACAACACAGTCATGTTTTCAGAACCTGTATATTTTTATACTGAAAATATAATTCTTTCATATCTAATTTTAGGGCTGCAAAATGGAACGAAGTAAAACATCTCCCTATCAAAGTATATGGCCATAATGTGATTTCACATAATGGGATGATATATTGTCTAGGTGGAAAGACAGATGACAAGTAAGTACTTTGAAATTTCCTTGTGATTTACATTCAAGTCATTTTTATTATGAGGCTTTTTTCTTTTCACTAAAGTCTATACTGAAGTAGGAGTTGGATCTCATTCATCATATGTTAGGGGTAAGATTTCCAAATAAAATTCTGAAAAGTTACTGGGAGATACACATGATTTCCAAAGGAAAAGAATTAAATTTAAATATTGTTAAAGTAATCATGTAGATCCCCAGCACACTGCTAGGAATAGGAATAATACCACATGAAATCTAACCAGTGACAGCAGAAGAACAGCTCCCGAAGGTGTGACAGAGACTTATTTAGCTGGTTTATAACTGTAGTTTACTACATTAAACTAAAGGGCTTTCTTATTCTTTAGCCATAGCAGATAAAAATTGAAATGCAGTGAAACATGTATTTAAAATGTATCTACTAAAACACCGTGCATAGAAAATACTATAAATACTTTGCATTCATAAGAGAGATTTTAGAAAATTCAGTTTGAAACTGAAAAAAGCATGGTGATTGAAAAGAAGGCTGTTAGTCTTCTGGACTGTGTCACTTCTTTACTCCTTGGCAAAAGTGATGTCCGAAACAGGCACTGTGTGTCCACAGTAGGTGCCTGACATCCCCTGACATCCCCTGTTCTCCCCCAGAGCCAGTCTCTTCACGAGAAAACGAGAATGAAGTTTCCTGTATCCACTTAACTTAAGTTCAGAGCACTTCTATGGGAAGAGGTAGTTAGTAGAGAGATATCACAGCTTGGAGAGAGGAAATGCGAGTCCAGAGTGCTCCAGAAATCAGTCTAGTTAGCCTGTTGGATAAATGAGCACTTGTAAACTGAGTCCAATGGCATATGCCTGGAATCCCAACTTCTGGGAGGCTGAGGCAAGAGGGTAACAAGTCTAATTCTAGGCTCAGCAACTCAGTGACTTAGAGAGAATTACCTCAAGATTTAAAGAAAAGGGCGAGAGACGTAGCTTAGTATGAAGGCCCTGGATCAGTCCCCAGTACCACAGGACTCCTGCTCCAGACAAGTCACTTTCAGTTTCCACGGTAAGAACTAATCTCTGCCCCTGAAAACTCCACCCGACTGGCTTTGTTACCATTTGCTGTGTAATGAATACAGACAGCCAGTCCTGGAAAAGGAGATTAAAATATGAATTGTAAAGGCGTACTCTGGCACGGTGGCATATGCCTGCAGTCCCAGCTATGTGGGAGGATGTCACAGGAGGAACACTTGAGCTCAGGAGTTTGCAACCAGCCTGGACAACATAGTGACACCCATCTCAAAAGCAAAACAAAACAGAAAACACCAAGAACAGAAAGAATTAGAAGGACGTGATAAATATAGCAGAGAAAGGTGACTTTCAGAGCAATGGTTTTTATACAACATATCCATATTCTCTCTTAGTCACTGATATTTCCATCAAATGAAATTTTTTAATCTTTTTCTCCAATCGCATTTTACTGGTACATTTTAGGTAAACGTAATTGATCACACTCATCATAGGCAATTTGCACCTGTATGTGATATAACTTATTTCTTTCTTTTCCCATGCCCCATCTCCCTCCCCTATTTACAAAAGCTTTGTTTCCATTTTTTCTTTCCTCATTTTTTACCTTTCCCTTCTTTCCTTTTCCCCTCCCCCTTTCCTTTGAAGAATTCTTCCAATTAAGTGAATATTTAAAAGGAAGATATATTACAGACTCACCCAGTGCCAAATCCTATTTTGGGCCTTTGCCTGTGCAAATGGAATGAATAAAATCTATTAAGCTGACTTTTGGAACATTGGAACTCTGCCAAATGATTTAAATTATTTCCTTCAAGCAGCACTAGGAAACTTGATATGTTAGTAGGAAGCATACAGGTCTTGTCACAGGGATGTATTAATCTTGAGAATCTAATTTCCAGGACAACACTGGTTGACAAAGGTCAAAGTCAAGAATTTTGAAATGAGTCACTATCTAAAGGCTAAGTCTAGGGACCAGGGACATAGCTCAGTGGTACAGCGCCTCCCTGGCAAGGGAAAGGTCCTGAGTTTGATTCCTGGTATCCAAATAAATAAATAAATAAAAGCAAAGTCTGAGGGCAGAGGATGTAACTCAGTGGTAGGAAAATAAAATAAAAGCATAATTTACTGTTAGCACTAATGAATTCTAAGAACATGGTTTTATATTATACTCTTATCAAGTTTTCCAGGGATACTCTATATTACCATTCCTGCTGCTGAGACACAATACCCAAACATCCACAATACAGGAGGAAATGTCTAACATGGCTCACAGTTGGGGGGATTAAGTCCCTGGTTGGCTGGCCCGAAGGCAGAAACATCCAGTAGAATGGTGAGGGGCAGTGACGTTGCTTAGTTCCTGGTGGCTGGGAAGCAGAACTGGAGGTCAGTGGGAGCCAGGAAATGGACCAGGCACTGTATTTTAGAGATGATTGAAATAATGGTGATTGTTTACATTAAAAATTTACTGGGCTACAAAGTGAGTTCAAGTCCAGGCTTAAGTGCATAGTGAGAACTTGTCTCAAAAAGACAAAAAAAGAAAAAAAGAAATAAGTATGTTCAAAGTGAGGGGTATTTGAGAGGAATTAATGGCCATGTGTCTTTTACTGTATTAGAATTTTAAGAACTTAGTTTTTGAGACAGAATCTCACTACGTACCTCAGACCGGCCTTAAGCTCACTTTGTAATCCAGGCTGGTGTTGAACTTCCAATGAACCTCCTGCATCCTGAGTGCTGAGATTACAGGCATGTGCCACCACACCCAGCTAAATTTTTAAGAATTTAAACATCCACTATGTTTTCCCATCATATCTCATACAATACTCAAAGTCCCTGCCTCCATGACTCTTCCAGGAGTGTGCTCTGCCAACTCCCTGCACAGAGCCCAGAGCCAGTCAGGTTGACACTTTTCGCCGTGAGTACCATCAAATATTAGAAAAAATGTTTCTACTCCAGATATCCGTTCTTTTTTAAGAGAAAAAAACTATTCTTCCAGAAAAATTGGGAAAGAAGTTTTTGGTGTTTTGGCATTACTAAATATATCCAGTGACTTAATTAATCATTGGGAATTCTGGACTTTAATCATTCAGTTATGGATCATTTAAGGAACCATAAAAAAATACACTAAGAATGAATTAGACGAGTTCAAGTTTTTCTGCTAGCATTTAGTATATAAAACTGTCCTCACTCATCAGCTCCGGATAGTCTCAGATTTCTTACAGGGAAGTACTACTGTGAGATTGAACTATTAAAACCAAGTTGCTTTTAAAAAACAAGATGGTAAGTGGAGGACTTGTCGTCTTCTGTTTACAGAAAGTGCACAAACAGGGTGTTTATTTACAACCCCAAGAAGGGAGACTGGAAGGACCTGGCGCCCATGAAAACCCCACGCTCCATGTTCGGCGTGGCTGTGCACAAAGGCAAGGTGGTGATTGCAGGCGGGGTCACCGAGGATGGGCTTTCCGCCTCCGTGGAAGCTTTTGACCTCAAAACCAATAAGTAAGTTGTCTTGCAACAGCCCCTGAATCACCATACTTTGTAATTTGGAGAGATATTAAGTTTTCTAACCAAGACAAGGGGAAGAGGAAGTGTTTTCATCAGGGATTCTTCTATGTCACTGCTGTAAAATTCCCAACATTTGGGCACTATGTGTATTTGTAATTTGGAACCTATGACTTCCAAGGTATGGTGGTTACACGTTTCCTGCACCTACTTCACTTACTGACCTAACTTCATGGGTACAGGTCTCTAACAGTTACTTAATTTCAAATATGTAGTTTATTTAAGGATGAAGAGATCTTTAAATGACTGACATCTGTAAAGTGTGAATGTTTCAGAAGCTTAATTTCTTTGTGTTCTTTGTAATTCTCTTTGAAATTTTTTCTTATTTTCTAGAATTTTTATTTGTTTTTGTTTCTTTTTTTTTCCTACTGGGGATAGAACTCACTACCTCATGCCTGCCAGGCAGGCGCTTGTGCTGCTGAGCTATATCCCTGGCTAGAATTTTTATTTTAAAACTTTTATTGATTTAATGTAGAAAGATACTTCACAGATATCCTTTACATAAAATCAGTCTTATAAATTTTTGAACTCATATATCATAATAAATACAGACTTGTTATATTCCTAGTTTAGCAATGAAGAAAATACAAAGCACTATTACTTATATATAAAGTATGATTTTTGGGGGGGTACCATGTAGGCCTCCTTACAAAATAGACCTTGATACCTAAAAATCACACACATAACAAAAAGCCCAAACTTTTATGAAGTAATATTTAAACAATCCTCTGGGCATAATGATGCACACATGTAATACCAACACTCTGGGAGGCTGAGACCAGAGGATTGCAAAGTTTAAGCATAGTATGGGCAATGAGACCTTGTGTCAAAATAAAGCATAAAAAGGGCCAGAGATGTAGCTCAGTGTGAATACCCTGAGTTCAATCCCCACTAACACAAAAGAAGGACTTAGGCAATTATTAAATAGCATATATTTATATATTTTTTTGGTACTGGGGATCGAACTCATAACTGTGTACTTGCAAGGCAGGCACTTATGCCACTGAGCTAAATCCCCAGCCCCAAATATCATATTATTATTAAAGACTGTATAATGTGAGTAAACACAAAGGTGTACAAAGTTAAAAGAATCAGCACACAACATTGAAAATTCTCTGTATTCTTAGTTTTATCATATCAATGGATGTTTATATTTAAATACTTTTTTAAAAAGTGATAAAATCAAACCAAAATGTAATGATTATGTCTGAATTTATGCTACCTGAATTCTTAAATTATAATTTGCTTTAATTGTTCAGTAAGTACATTTGCATGTTTCGTGTTTTCCATTGACTGGATTTTCAATACATATCTAGGTGGGAAGTGATGCCCGAGTTCCCCCAAGAGAGAAGCTCCATCAGCTTGGTCAGCCTGGCTGGGTCTCTGTACGCCATTGGTGGCTTTGCTATGATTCAGCTGGAGTCCAAAGAGTTTGCACCCACCGAAGTCAACGACATATGGAAGTAAGTGCCCCTTGCACCAATTTTTAGAGCCATGTACTAAGTCAGAACACTGACAACCAATAAACAATTTTGTAGTAAATAATAAGCCAGACTTTCCCAACATGCAAGCTACTTCCTGGTGGTACACTGAACACTGGAAGCCTGGAGGAGCCATTGTGCGAGCCACTTAGTGATCAAGTCGGGCTTCTTGTTAGCCATGAATTTGGGAAAGAATTCGCCTCAGCTTGTTTCCTAATTCCTCACATGTGAGCCTTTGCACTCCCTTCTAGCTCTAAAAGTACCATCCTCCAGGCATCCAGGAGAGCAAAGGGCCCTACCTTCTACCAGACAGTAGTTTATTTCCTAAAAAAACAGAGCTCTGAAGAAATATATAACATCTTGAACTTTCCAGGGATGAATTCATTAAATTTACTTTGAATCTAATTTAAATCATTAGGCCATGGTCTGAAGATTTAGCTCAGTGGTATAAGAACCTACCTGGCAAACTTGAGATTGTGAGTTTGATCCCTGGTACCAAAAAAAAAATCGTCAGGTCAGGTGTAGTGGCACATGTAATACCAGCAATTGGGAGGCTGAAGCAGGAGGATCTCCCTGAATTCGAGGCCAGCCTGGGCTACATAGTGAGTTCAAGGCCCGTCTGAACTATGTACTAAAACTGTCTCAAAAAAAAAAAAAAAAAAAAAAAAGGAAACAAAAAATATGAAGGTAGCAATCTATTTCATCACCCAAGTGATTCTCCCAAGTATAATACTTGCAAGTATTACTACTGAACTATTTTAGTCAAAGGAATGCTTTTTTTGTGGGGGTAGGGGGGTACATTTTATCATCGTTTCTAATGCAGTAAATGTCATATAGTGACCAAAGTGCATCTAGGGAGTCTCAGGGCAGAAGCTAGTGTTACGGAGTCACATAGTCCTGGTAGGGAGCGTAGTGTGTAGCTATCTGGACACACCCAGGATACCACGTGTCTGGCCAGTGGCCCCTACAGCCTACAGTCCAGGCACTGTGTTGTCTGCGCCTGCAGGAGGGCAATGCCAAATATCCAGGTGAACACAGGAGAGCTCATACTGCACACACACCCGAAGACCGCCATGCTCATGCCTCCTCCTCCTCTGGGCAGCTTGTGGCCCTTACCTGGACTGTTACAGTCAGTCTAGAGCCTTCCTGCCCAATATGTGGTCTGTGGAGCAGCAGCATTGGCACCTGCAGGGAGCTGCCAGGATTCTGCAGAGTCCAGACCCTACCTCTGACCTGCTGACTCAGAATCTGCATTAAACAAGATTCCTGGTTGATTTCTACACACAGCTTTGAAAGAGCATCCCTCATACTCCCCTGAAGGCAGACTCTAAGCTTGAGAACAAAAAGTGGGTACTAATTGTTTTGTGCTGTAATCACAAATCAGGAAGCCTGACAGGCTGGTAGCTGAGCCACAGCACGACCTCGTGCACTGAACAGCTTTTGCCTTTGTTGTGATAATGCAGGTAAGAAAAGGTGGCTGTAAAACAGTTCACTATTCCCTAACAAAAGCAGAGAAAAAAAGGTTTCCATGGAGCAAGAAAGACAGAAGCAATAGAAGGGGAAAGGATGACAAACTGGAAAGGTTAGGGCTCCTGGAAAACAGGAGCAGGGGATCAGAGTGAACAGGCAGTCACTGTGGACCTGAGTGTACCCCAGTTGCCTAGATGCGCTTGAATCGCAGGAGGTTAGGCCTTGACACACACCAGTGGAGCAGAACCTCTGGAGGCGGGGCCTGAGGGTCACAGTTCCCCAGCCTCAGCGGGTTCTAGTGAGCAACCCAGGCCAGAAAAAGCTGGCTGATTGATTCGGGATCTTTCTCTGTGTGCAGAAATGGTTGGGAATTGCTAGACTGGGAAGGATTTACTGCTTGGCTGTAAAATTTTGTATTTCAATACGAGTATTTTATAATTTGGGGGAATGTCTAGAGCAATGGATCTCAAAATTTGGTGCATGTAAGTCTGAGAGTCGTCCTCCAACAGAAACCAGGAGAAGTGGAATAAATTTTCCTGGCATTATCAGGTGCTGTGCTGCCTGCTGGTGTAGGAGAACAGCTGGAGTCATGACCGATGATCCCAGCAGTTCCTGCTTTGTCCACTTCCCAGGACTCACAGAGGCTGGCCGTATTCCCCCACCCCAGGGGCTGGCCTCTTGCTATCCTTCCCTGGACAGCTTGGTTCCCAGCGAAGGCCACACTTCCAGGTGTCCAGATTAAACACGCTCACTCAGTCACTCAGAGAGCGCACATCTGGAGGGGAATTCAATGTGGCTCTTCCAGGCAGTCTCCTCATCTGGATAAAAGCCAGGTTTTTTTTTTCCCCCAAAGATCCATTTTGTATGTACAGATCCACATTTGTATATAAAAGAAAAACCTATGAAAGCATCATTTTAAAAGCCACTAATTGATTTATTTTCCTCCACCAGGTATGAAGATGATAAAAAAGAATGGGCTGGGATGTTGAAAGAAATTCGCTACGCTTCAGGAGCTAGTTGCCTAGCAACACGTTTAAATCTCTTCAAACTGTCTAAGCTATAAACAAGGTGACAAAACAGCATAAGTTCAGATGTGTTTGGTTGGATAATAGGGCTTTAATTTATTCTGTCTTTTAAAAACCTGTACAGATTCATGTAGAAAGTGTTCAGTAAGTTATTGTCTAGGAGGTGAATAGAGTATCAAAACCTCAGTCATGTTTCTCTTCTGTGTCATGCTCAGAGTTTAAAACCATTTTCTAATGAGAAATTAAAGATTCAGTTGAACAAATTTTCTCTTTTGTCTCAATCAATGGAATTTAAGGTAACAATAAATTTGAGTTGTTTACTAAGCCTTTTTACTGTTGGGGTACCTCCTTCATACTTGCTTTATATAAAAATGAAACATATATATTTATTCACTTGAAAAAAATGCTTAAAATATCAAAAAGCTTTCCACATGCTTTGAATTATGGCAGAAACTTTGTACATTAAAGACTACTGCTGAGCACAGTGGCACATGCCTATAATCCCAGCATTTGAGAGGTGAGGCAAGAGGATTGCTCTGAGTTTAAGACTAGCCTGAAAAAAAATATAAGCTAGAAAAAGATATTTGGGCTGGATGTGGTGGCACACAAGTGTAATCCAAGCACTTGGGGAGGCTGAGGCAGGAGGATCACTATAAGTTCAAGGCCAGCCTGAACTGCATGGTCAAATCCTGTCTCAAAAGAGAAAAAAAAAAAAGAGAGAGATTTAAGGAATGTAATAATCATTTATTATTTATCTATACAGTCTTATTTGAAGGGGAAAAGTCTATAAGTAAAAGATAAACTCAAATGCCTTCCTGTTTTCTCCATTCCTTTTGTGACACAGGCATATTGATTTTCAAATCAAATTTACAGTTTTAAAGTTTACAGTAAGCAGTCAGCTGTGACAGCGCATGCCTATGATCCTGCCCAGTATTTGCGAGGCTGGAGCAGCAGGAAGGACTTCCAGGCCAGCTGGGGCTCCAAGGGATCTTGTCTCCAGACAAAAGCACAACAGTTAATGTATTCTTCCTGCCCTTAACTGCAGCCATGTGGCTGGTGAGTGGGGAAGCACCATCAGGAGACACATGGATCCTTTGAACTTCTGGGGCCTGGGTGCTGCGGAGGAGGGCACAGAGCTATTGGTTTAAGTGTGAGCTGTACTTCCCACAACAGGGCTACTTACTTGCTAAATTTCTGATGGCCGCTGGGATCAGAGGTCCCACACTCACTGTTTCTTCTTGGGAACAGGAAACTGACCTATCAGACTACAATCATCAGTCCAATTCTGTGTAAGTCACTTTTATTGTAGCCACAGCTACGTACAGGTATCACCTAACTCTCATAGATACATGTTTAATGTCTACTCTCAAGTTTTGAGGGTTTTTTATTAATGGGGTTCATCCTGGCAGACTGGTACTTGCACATGACATACTTTGATCATTTTCACCCCCCACCAACATTGTCCTGCCTTTCTCCTCTAGTTGCATCTTCTGACTTCCATTCTTACACATTATTTTCTGAAAGTTTCATGATTACTTGTCAAGCAATTGCACATAAAATAGATATAAACCAGGTGTGATCGGGCACACTTGTAATTCCAGTTCTTCAGGAGGCTGACGCAGGAGGATTACAAATTTGACCCCAGCTGGGCAACTTAGAACCAATCTTAAAAATAAAAGACAAAGAAAGAGTTGTGGATATAGTTCAGTGTGAAGGTCCTGGGATCAACTCTCAATACAAAAACAAAATAAGGCCAGGAATTTAGCTCAGTGGCTTAAGCACCTGCCTGCTAGACACAAGGTCATGAGTTCGATCCCTGGTACCAAAAAACAAAACAAAAAAATCTAACCAAAATCAAACAAAATAGTTACATGTTCACACAGCTTTTTTTTTCCTGTATCATAAATATGGAAATACATTCAACAAAAATCACTTTTATTTTAGATCTCTTAAGTAGTATCTTCTTTTTTTTTTTTTTTGGTACCAGGGATCCAAACTCATAACCTCACATTTGCCAAGCAGGCACTTATGCTGCTAAACCCCTGTCCCTTAAGTAGAATCTTGACTACTTTTCTGTACTGAAAAATACTGATCTTGGTGCGTGCCTATACTCCCAGCACTCAGTAGGCTTGTTGTGAGTTTGAGACCAACCTGGGTTACAAAGTGAACTTAAGGCCAACCTTAATGAAATGCATAGCGAGGCCTTGTCTCAAAAACACAAAAAAGGAAAAGGAAAGAAAAGAAAAATACTGATCTGAGCCAGATGTGATGGCATATACCTATTAGCCCAGCTCAGGAGGCTGAGGCGGGAGGATCATCACAAGTTTGAGGCAGCCTGGGCTACCTAATGAGTTCAAGGCCATCCTTAACTACATAGTGAGACTGCTTTTCAAAAAAAAAGAAAGAAAGAAAAGATTCATTGATCCAAACTGCAATCAAATCCCAAAGGTAAAAAGCACAAAAATGTTCTTCAGTAGATAAGCTGCTAGGAGGAGAAAGGGTAGAGAAGGCTGCTTATGAGTCAAACTTAAATGGCAAGGAATGGGGCAAATTATGGCAAAAGCTGCACTCCTGGGAGAGAAAATTGTAGGAATTGTGGTTTCCAAAAAATCAGAATAGACTTCTGGGAAGACGGTGAAGTGGTGAGCAGCAGAAAAACAGCCTCTCCCAGATGTGGGGTCGACATTGCGAGGAAGAGATGGGCGGATGTAAGTCCCTGCGATCCCCCTCGGACCTCAAGCAAGAACTGACGCCCATAGGGAGAAGGAAGAGAGAGACTTAAACAAAGAGGAAGCAGGGGCAGGCAGTGCTTTCTCCGGAGCCCTGACTCCCTGCAAAGGAGGGGCAGCTCCCACCTGCACTTGCACGGTGACTACTGGCGCCCCCAGAGGCCTCCATGGAGAACGCACCAGTGGAACTGAGGAGCAGAGTGTACTGCAGGGGCCAGTGAGTTATTCCGGTTCAGCGTCCCCCAGGAGAGGACGATTGGTGGGAGTGGGACCCACTAAGCTCAGAACTCAGAGCAGCTGCGGCGGCCTGACCATCTAGCGGCTCCCAGTGTCAGGTGAGGTGGAGCTCGGTTCAATCGGCAGGAGGTCAAGAAGCCGAGTTCAAGCCAGCGGGGAACTGAATTCAGCCAGCATGAGGCACACAGAGCATTGCAGGCTCAACAAATCGGGCTCCGGCGTCACAGCCAGAAACCAGCCTGAACCTCCGTGGTACTAAAGGCGCCGGCTTGCTGGGCTGTCCACCACCCCGCTGTAAAGCTGCGGCTGGCTGGCTGGATGAACCACCGTGATCCGGACTCTGTCTGCCCAGGTTGTCTACCAGTGACAGCTGAGGCTGCCTTGAAGTGGAATTCTTTTTTTATTATTTCTCTTCTCCGTTTTGTTTCTTCTTGAGTGTTCTTGTTTTTATGTAAGTATGAATTGTTTCTAGTTTTTTGTTGTTTTTATTTCTCCCTTCTTTTCCCTCCTGACTTCTTCACCAGTTTCCCTAAGTTTCTGAGACCTTCCTTTGTCCTTCAGCCTTGCTTCTCATGTCTCCTTCTGTTTCTGTCTTCCCCCTTAACTCTTTTTAAATATCTCCGCATGCCAAGGGCATATTTGCTGTATACAATTTTCAGGTTTGTTTTAGATTTCTGTTACATAACCACAAATCTAGTTCTTATGGTTAAAGGTGGCAAATCAGTAGTTACCACAGTTTCTCATTCTCTAGGCTGTGTTTGATGCTACTGTTACTGCTGACTGCACTGCTTTAGCCAAGGTGACATAGCTGTTCTAAATCAGTTGTTCTTCCGGTGTACCAAAACTGAGATTGCTTAAGGGTCATAAATACTACTATAAACTAATGGAAAAGAACCAGAGCTAGGTCAAATTGGCAACAACTTCTCATTCCTAATAAATTGAAGCATTTAAAAAAAATTTTTTTTGAGACAGGGTCTCACTATAGTAGTCCAGGCTGGCCTTGAATTCACTTTTTTTTTGTCTTTTTGAGACAGGGTCTCGCTATGCAGTTCAGGCTGGCCTTGGGCTCACTTTGTAGCCCAGCCTGGCCTCAAACTCACTGTCATCCTCTTGCCTCAGCCTCCCCAGTGCTGTGATTATAGTGTGAGGCACCGTCCCCAGCAACCTGCTTGTTTTGTCCCATTCCCAAAGGATCTTTTGTCATTCTCAAACGTACCAGGCAGCAGTCTACCACAGAATGTTTGTGCCTACTGTTTTTAATCGAGTCAGGACCACTTAAAGAAAAACACATACAAATGTAATGTACCAAAAGAATTCATTTTAAATAAAAATGACAATCATGATTTCCTGTCTCCAAATATGTGCTGTCGCAGGTAGTCCATGCGAGCACCCCTGACTGACAGCGCCATGGAGTTCCACTCGAAGTGAGGAATCTGGAAGGTAAGCAAGGGAGCAGGAGTGAGCCTTTCACAGCAGCAACTAAACACATCAGGGGAGACCTAGGGACCTCGCACTGGGGAAGATGCGGAGCCCCGTGGAATCGCTTACCCAGCATGGCCTGCATCCGTCAGCAAACTGAGGGTCTTCCCTCCCCGCTTGCCCTGCACCATTTCCTAAGCCAGCTCCTCTAGCCCGGGGCTCTGCAGTAGCCAGGTGGACACAGCACCGCGCCCACACCCACACGTTAGCCTCCCCTCCCCAGCGGGTCCCTCTCACACTGCCTCACTACGCGTAAGGTGAGTACGCAAATCAGCAGCTCTTCTAAAGACAACAAAGGAAGTCAAGTTTTTGAAGGGGGTACTGGCAATCAAATCCAGGACCTCGCGCTTGTCAGAAAGGAACTGAGCTAAATTACCGCCCCCTAAAGGAAGTAAGTTTCACTTCTTATTCTACTAAGAATATGTTCTACATCAGATACCCTAATGTAACATTTTTAATATGAAAAATTTTCATATTAAATGTGAAATATTTAAATTTTCACGTTAAAAGGAAATACTTGTGTAGCCACTGTCTCTTTTTTATTTTTAATTAATTAATTAGAGACAGGGTCTTGCTAGATAGGTAAGGCTGGCCTTGAAACCACTATGGGCCCAGGCTGGCCTTAGATTTACATCTATCCTCCTGCCTCAGCCTCTGGAGTTCTGGGATTACAGGAGTGTACCACTGCACCTGGCCTCTGTGTTGTTTAGAGGATGGATTACATGAGTGTATCCTACCTGGATTAAACGATAGCCCAAAATTTCTAAATGTCGTTTTCTCATAGCAGATTTTCCTTGCAAGTGAGGAATGTTTGTACAAAAAGATTTTGAGTCCAAATATTTGATTACAATCCTAGATAAGAAAAAAATAAATACTATATTTCCAAAATTAAAGAGAGAAACTGAGTAATTATAAGCCTTTCAGGAACAAGAATGTATAAGCTAATGAAAACCACATCAATATAAATGAGTATACCATTTTATTTTTCTACTTAAGAAATTAGTAACTAGGGATGGGACCGTAGCTCAGTGGAAGAGTGCTTGCCTAGCATGCACAAAGCCCTGAGTTCAAGTCCCAGTGCCACCAAAAATAAAAAAGCAACAGATAACAATTAAACCTATTTGTTTAAACTGTATTATATTAAAATAGCTACCTGCTTTCATCCATTTCTCTGTCCAACAAACACTTACTTTTTTCAGTGTACATGTGTTACACACTCACTGTCCCTAAGGAGCTCACCCATGAAGACAAAGTGATGTGGCCTCGTCCAGTGAGCACACAGGGTGAGGGGGAGTGGCAAGGGCTCCGCCCAGCACAGGCATGGGAAGGCTGAGGGGGAAAACGCCACTGCCCCCAGTGGTGCCACTGCTCAGCACCCGAGGCTGTGGGCTCGGGCAGAGGAAGTAACAAGCAGGCGCTGGCAGAGAGGTGAAGGTTCACCGGGAAACTGCAAGTTACCACAGGCGCAGAGGCTACTACCACTGCACCTAGAAGGCCCAGGTCCTAATACAATGCCAAATTTTACATTTAGGTAAATCTGAAATTAAAAAAATACATCACCTTTCAGCTCCGGCAGGAAGACTTGGTCCAACTATTTGAATGTTTGAGTCTCCATACATTTTTGCTGGTTTTCCCAAAGTTGTATTATGGCCTCCATAAGAAAGAGGTTGTTTTCTTTTATCCAAGATACATTCAAAATCTTAGGGAAGTAGAGAAATCAACAGTATAGTTAGGTAACTTCTTACAGGCAAACGCTGAAGGTCTGTTTTTACTGCATAAACATATAGAGGTATATATACACATGGAGAGAGGAGGGAGCCAGAAGAACTCATCCAAAAAGAAGTAAACAGAAAGATTCAATTCTACTGTTTGTGGAGCTGCCATCCCAGGCCTGGCCGCTGCACATACGGGAGGGAACAGATGTGTAATTTAAGTATCTCCTCTTTGTGGGTTTTGGTTTCTCATGGCTAAGCCCAATCTTGACTAATACAAAAATAAACAGCAGCGTGCAATATATGTACCATTGTTGCCCCCTCATTGACATGTTTTGAAATTATTTTTTTCTCTTTGAAATAGATTTTTTAAAAAAGTAAATAGGAGAGGATGTGTCTTGTGCAAAATGAAAAAACTTAATGATTACTTAGTTCACCTGCCCAGTGTGGCGCGCACACACACACACACACACACCCCTCCATTGTCATCCGGCCTCTGCCCCCTTATTTGTTTACAAGGCAGCCCATTATTCTGTTCGTAATGCCTTAAAATCTGCTTCCATCATGTTTTGTTTTTGTTGAGACAGGGTTGCACTATGTAGTTCAGGCTGCCTTTGAGTTTACTGTGTACTCCACGTTGGCCTTGTGCTTGTGGTAACCCTCCTGTCTCAGCCTCCCAAGTGCTGGATTACAGTTGTTGGGATTAAGTGTTAACATTTTTTCATCCCTGAAATAGATACCATACCTACTCTTCTTCCACATACCAGTCCTTCAAAGGTCTTCTATTGTTGGATCTTGGGTTTTATTTGTTTGTTTGTTTGTTTGTTTGTAGAACAGGGGATCGAACTCTTGACCATGCGTTTGCCAGGCAGGCATTTATGTCACTGAGCTAAATCCCCAGCCTTTTTCTGCTTTTTTATACTGTGGTCCTGGGGCAAACATTTTAAAAGTTACCTTCCCGGGCTGGGGATTTAGCTCAGCGGCATAAGCGCCTGCCTTGCAAGCAAGCAGTCATGAGTTTGATCCCCGGTACCGAAAAAGACAAAAAAAAAAGTTATCTTCCCCATAAGTCTTCTGCTTTTCAGACTAATCATCCCTAGACTTTTTTCCACGTAAAATGTATTGAACACTTACTGTGTTCCTCTGCTAAATGCTTTACATTAAATGCTGGCTTGATCCCACACTAAACAGGCATTATTATCCTCATTTTACAGATAAAGAAACTAACAAGGAACCAGGAAGAGTGACACATACCCAAGGTCCCAGTTCCTCCAGAGGCTGAGACAAGACGATCACAAGACTGAGGCCACACTGGGTAACCTGGTGAGACCCTGACTCAAATAATATTTCCAGAAGGGCCGGGATGCAGCCCAGTGGAAGAGCACACTTGCCTAACAGGCGCACGGCCCTTGTCTTTGATCTCTAACACTGCCAAAAGAGAAAAACTAATAAAAAGAAGCTGCTCAAGGATTGAAATCCATGTCATCCCGCTCCTCTCTAATTCTAAGCCCTGATTTCTAGGTCTTTCCCCTCCTGTCATTTGTTTCTATTTGTCACTGTCTTTCATAAAGGGCATCGTGCCGAAAGGGCAAAAAATGTGAAGGACAGAACGCAGTGAGGTTACCAACTTGATTATTATTAGTATAGTAAAAATAGTTATTTGATTTTAGCAACCATTATATGAAGCAGATATTATCTAAAAAGTTTATGCAATTCTCTTAAAAATCTTTTCATTTAAGCCAAGCAAGCATCTCCCCTCCCTGGTAAGCGGTGGTGATCTGGCAAACTGCGGCCCTTCTAGGGGGACAACCAGCAGCAGCTCCTGAGATCCGCACCATGTTGGAACTTAGAATGCTGTGAAACTAAACAACCAGCCTGCCTCCTTGCTAAGCAATAGTGAACCTACTGATGCTGATGCACGGCCTAGAGCCAAATATCCCATTCCCCTATCCTCCTCCCCCCACCCCCCCGCCCATTAGCAAATGGGAACCAGAAATCTGAGTGTCTCCTGGGAGGTTGACATACCAAATAAGGGGGACTTCCTTCTACCATCTCTTTGAAGGCAAATATTTTTATTACTGTTTTGCTCTATTCTGATTAATGGTACTGCTCTATTCAATATTCTGTTTTAATAAATTCTATAGTGTTCTATATTTCATCTCATTTTGATATATGTGATTGAAAGAACAACTATTATAAAGATAACAAAATATGCTGTGATACCTATTACTGTTATCCCGGTAACCTGCTGTGAAGTTCTGTACCAATTTCACTGTACGATCTTAGTTGGCTTTATTCTGTCTTGTTCGGTTGTATACTTTCAAAATAAAATTAAAAAAAAAATCTTTTCATTTAAGGAACCAGTCAGGATCATGTGCACAGTATCTTTGGGAATCTTAGTCCAGGTTGATAATTCAAGTTAGTTTTTGAGATGAATTTAAAATAATGAATCATCAATACAAAAATTCATTTTCCTGACTTTAGCCCACTGATAGAGGATAAAAATCTCTGGCAATTTAGTCAGTCTTCTCTGTTTGTTTTGTCTTTTTTGAGACAGGGTATTGCTATGTTACTTAGGCTGGCTTTGAACCTGCTATATAGTCCAAACTGGCCTCACACTCACAGCAATCCTCCTGCCTCAGCTACTGAGTGATGGGATTACAGGTGTGCACCACCATGCCCAAGGATCCATGAGTCTTATTCTGGGTTTTACATACAACTGACTTTAAATTTTTTCCTGGAAAGCATCAAAATGCTAACGGTTATCCACACTGGGAGGATTAATTATATTCTTTCAGTTTGAGTCTGTTCGTAAATTTGTATAACAACTAGAAAAATCTTTTAAAACTTTTTTTTTCTTAAATTCCAACCACTGAGATGAGTCTTTTCAAATTAGTTTGGTCCTCAGAAGTAGGTAACTCCTGATCAGTGACTTACCTACTCTGTGGTAATAAGACGAAAGAACCAAGGCTTTTACAAAATTGGGTCCTCCTAGTACCTCTGACAGAACTTTATAAATCTGCTGTTGTGCTCCACTCATGTGGCCAGTACCTTTATGAAAACAAAAATAGACAGTTCACTTAAGTTAATCAGATTCTGAATGACCATTCCAATTCTACAAACAGAAAAATAAAGACTATTTCTAATACTCCAATAAGAACTTTGAGGTAATACCACCAAATACAAGTTCTTGCTCTCAAACAAAAGGTTTAGCATACTAATTAAGATTTTTATTTTATTTTTTTTGGTACTGGTGATCAAACTCATGACCTTGAGCTTGCCAGGCAGGCGCTTATGCCACTGAGCTAAACCCCCGACCCATTTTTGTTGTTTTTTGAAACAGGGTTTCAACATATAGTTAAGGCTTGCCTTGAACTTACTTTGTAGCCTGGGCTGGCCTTGAGCTCAGAGTGATCCTTCCTGCCTCAGCATCCCAAATGCTGGAATTACAGGCAGCACCACCATGCCCAGCAAGAAATTCTTTTTTTTTTTTCATACTGGGGATCAAACTCAGGACTTTGCTCTTGCCAGGAAGGCGCTTATGCTGCTGAGCTGTATCCCCAGCCTGAAATCCTTATAACATAAGGGTCACCTGCAGCATCTCACCTAGAACATAAATAGGTGATGGCCTTCTTGGAAATTCTAGTGTCATGTTTAGATTTAACAATAATAACAATGTCCTCCCTAAAAATTTACTTCATAATTAAATTTCACTATCTCACAAGAAGAAAACTCAAACCTTTGATAATCTGTTGTTGACAAAAGTCGTCATGAAACCATGGGATTTGAAGCTCAGGACATTCCAAGCAGACAGCTCTATTCAACTCCATCAGACGAAACTGGACGTTGGTACTCAGAGACGAAGGTAAGACTGAAATGAAAAATAAAACACTGATGGACTTTCATGGTTTGGGCCATGGTAAAAACAACTCATTTTTTCACACCATTTATCTCCACTATTTGGGAAATTTTTATTTCCATATTATATGAAATCACTTCATTGCACACAAATGCTTTATAGTTTAAAATTACTACATTCAGTAGCATGATCAGGTTGAACTTCTGCACTATTGTCACTAATTGTACATTTTAAAGCTACTTTTTTTTTGAGATGGTTTTGCTGTACAGTTCAGGCTGACCTGGACTCACTACACAGCCCAGGCTGGCCTCGACCTCATGGCGATCCTCCTGCCTCAGCTTTGCAAGTGTGGGGATTAGAGATGGAGCTATTTTTTGGTGGGGTTTTTTTTTTTTTGGTACTGGGAATTGAACTCACGACCTCAAGCTCGCTAGGCAGGCACTTGTGCCACTGAGCTGTACCACTACCCCCTCTTTTTTTAAAGAGAAAAAAGATAAAAACAACAATGAAACAGAGTTTCAAAACAGTTAATAGAACAGTTGCAGTAATTAATGCATTGCATATTACTGTCTTCATAGTAGTTATTCAAAGTACAAGATTTAGGCGCATCCTGTCCAAATAATATTAGCATACACCTTGCTTTTCAACTAAGAGAAATTAGTAGTATAAGTATCTTAACTATCTTGTGTGTGTATATTTTTTTCCTTCTTTTCTCCTGTCCCCCCATCTCAGATTCTCTTTCCTTTTGAACAGTTTCTTCCCATTTCACATTATCTATTGTACATTTTGGATCTTATTTACTCTTTCAGCTTCTCACACTAGGAGACAATATGTTTATATATCAGTCTGACTTATTTCACTTATAAGTATGGTCTTGAGCTGCATCTATTTATCTTTTTATGGCTGAGTAGTACTCCATTATATAAAGAAATCCACATCTTATCTATTCCTCAGTTGATGGGCATTTGGGTTGTTTCCAAGATTTAACTATTATAAATTGTGCTGCTATAAACATGGGTACACATATATCATTGTGGTATGATGTTTTTAATTCTTTGATAAGATATCTGGAAGGAGTCTGGTAATATATTTTATTCTTTTCTTTTCTTTTTTTAGTACTGGGGATTGAACTCACAAACTCAAGCTTGCCAAGCAGGCACTTCCACTGCTAAGCTAAAACTACATTTTAAAATATTAAAATATTAAAATGTAGTTTTAGCCAGGCATGGTGGTGTACATCTTTAATCCCACTGCTCAGGAGGCTGAGGCAGGAGGACTCCCGAGAGTTTGAGTCCAGCCTGGGCTATACAGTGAGTTCAGGCCAATGTGAACCACATAGTGGGACCCTGTCTGAAAAAACTTTCATTGACCTAATATTTTATACTCAGGAGTTTATCCTGAAGAAACAATGATTCATGTATAATGGTTCATTACATGTAATAATAAGAACTGAAAATAACCTATACCATAACAAGTACGTTTTTTATTTTTATTTATTATTTTGAGAGAGGGTCTCACTGTGCAGTTCAAGGTGACCTTGAACTCACTTATGTAGCCCAGGCTGGTGTCCAACAAGTAAATTTTATTACATCCATATAATAGTATATTATATATCCAATAAGAATGTAAAAAAACTTAATGACATGAAAAATTATTCAAAATGTAATTAGACAAAGAAGGCAATATTCAAAAGTGAATATGTAAATAATACAAATTTTTATATAAATACATGATACATGAGAACAGAAAAGAAATACTTCAAAAGATGGGGTGGTAGAATACATCCTTAGTATGTGGCGGGCTTGAACCCCTGCAGACAAACAAGTGGAGGAGACAGAGACAGGGACAATGGAGAAAGAAAGAAAAGGAACAGAAGGAAAAAGGAAAGGAAAGCAAAGGAAAGACGGCATAGTGTGTACTCCAGTAATTCTAGCACTCAGGAGGCTGAGGCAGGAGGATCACTGTGAGTTCAAGATCTGCGTGGGCTACATAGCAAGACCCTGTCAAAACACACACACACACACACAGACAGACACAAACACAGAGAGAGAGAGAGAGTAGAAAATAAAATAGAGAAATTAAGGGAGGAAGGAATTAAAAAAAAAAACCAAGAACTACTCTAAAACATTCAAAGTGGTGGCCGAGGATTTAGCTCAGTGGCACATCATCTGTCTGGTAAGTGTGAGGTCCTAAGTTCAATTCTTGGCACCCCCTCCGAAAAAACAAACTGAAAGCAGTTAGGCTGAGAATGCAGCTCAGTGGTAGAGCACTCACCAGCATGTGTGAGGCCCTGGGTTCAGTCCCCAGTAGCAATCAATCAATGAAGTAGTTTACTTCGTGGTAAAATTATGGTATTTCTGTCTTTCTTTCTTTCTTTCTTTCTTTCTTTCTTGTTTTCTAAGACAGGATCTCACTGTATAGTCCATCCTTGGCCTTTTCCTCAGTATGTAGTCAGGATATGTGCTCCCCTAGATTTGCAGTTCTCTTGCCTCACTCTCCTAAGTGCTGGGATTAGAGGCAGTTGCCACAACACCTGGCTTTTACTTTTTGTTTTATATTTCTGCATATTTCCCAAATTTTCTTTTTTTTTTTTTTTTAATCAGTACTGGGGATTGAACTCACGACCACACACTTGCAAGGCAAACGCTTATGCCACTGAGCTAAATCCTCAGCGTCAATTTCCCAAATTTTTTACAATAATCACGACAAGAAAAACTTTTTGGTGGTGCTTGAAATCAAACCCAGGACCTCACAAACATTAGGAAAGTTCTCTTCGCTGAGCTACAGTCCTAGCCACCATGAAATACTTTCATTAACAGAAATGCCCCTAAGATTTAAACGCTTCAGTATGAACTGGTGTATTGGCACACAGGTATAATCCCAGCACTCTGGGAGGCTGAGACAAGAGGACTGCAAGGTTAGACACAGTCTGGGCAACTTAGGAACTTGGGGAGATCCTGTCTTAAACTGTGGAAAAACTGAAAAAAGGGTTGGCAACAGTGACTGTGAAGGCCTTGGGTTTAATTACCAGGACAAGGAGGAAGAAAAGCTTTAATAGGAATTGAAATTTGGATATAAAATAGAAGGGATAGATGGGCAAACCAAACGTCATTGAGAGCAGGACTGGCAGGGAGCTCTGCATCGACCTGTGGTGAGTGAGAGAAATGGGGACCCTTTCATAGACTAGGAGGCTCCAACAGAGGACATTCTGGGAACGGGCAGACTAGCTGGAACAGGACGCTGCAGTGACTTTAGTCGCATATTCCCCTCTCAAGCGGGATTGGTGGGGAGCGCTTGGCCTGGTGACGCAGCAGACTAAGATCCAGTAGGCTAGCCCAAATCAGGTCCCTGTGCCTGGCGGTGCACCCTAGCAGTGAAGCCTTCAGTAGGTTGATCTGGAGGGACGGGCCCAGCAGAGGCTGCCCAGGTCTGTGTCTCCCTAGTACACTGCAGTAGGCGGGAACACCTAGCCAGCGGACTCAAACAAACTGTAACAGATAAAGAGAGAGAAAAAAAAAAAAAAAAAAAATAACTGGGCCTCCTACATATGCTTGTATGGAAGGAACAAAAAGTATGGGAAAAGGGAGCAACAAGAAAGGCTCCTCAGTCCCCAATCCTGAGAACACTGATCCAGGAAAGGTAAATGCAAAAAGAGAATGAAGACAGAAAACATGCAATATCAGACACAGCACCAATAGACATAAAGCAGTATCTCCAGAGCCTCATAGACGAATTAAAAAATGAAGTATTTAATGAAATAAAGCAAGAAATAAGTAGAATAGTTAGAGAAATGCTAAGCACCGCCCAACAAAAAACAGATGGTGGAATGGAAGAACAGAAAAAAAGGGGAGAATTGTTTGATGGAGATAGAGAAAAACAGAATACGTGAAGCAGATTACCATCAAAGAGATTACCAGGAAACTAAAAACTCTATTGAAAGCTGGCATAACAGCTTGAAAGAAACTAAGGATAGATTATCAGAACTGGAGGACAGATTTGTAAAGTGGGAGCATGAAATGAAAAACTTCTTAAAAATAACAAGAAAACAAACAGCAATAATACAAAGGCTAGAAGATGATAAGAGGATCTATAACTTAAGAATTAAGAACATAAAAGAAGAAGTAGGGACACAAACAAATGAACTACAAAAGCTATTCACAGAAATAATCCAGGAGAATTTCCCTAGTTTAGCAAAAGGTAAAGATACTCAGATGTATGAGGCATACAGAACCCCAGCCACCTACAACCCAAACAGAGCAACACCCAGGCATATAATAATCAAAATTCCAGAAATCCAATATAAGAACAGACTATTAAAAGCCGTCAGAGACAAGAAACAGATCACTTACAAGGGAACACCCATCCAAATTACAGCAGACTTCTCAGCACAAACCATCAAATCAAGAAGAGGATGGGGGGAAAAATTCAAGCTTTGAAAGATAATAACCTCTAGCCAAGATTGATATATCCTGCACAACTGTCCCTAGAAATTGATGGAAAAACAAGGTGCTTCCAGGATAAAGAGGAACTAGGGGAATTTGCAACCACCAATTCAACTCTACAGAGATTACTACAGGATATTCTAAAAATGAAAAATACCAAGATTCCAGAAACAGTGGCAGAGAGGCCACTATGAATGGAGCAGAAAGTGAAATGAAGAAGACAAACTGACAACTAACAACAGAAAAAGAGCTCAACAGAAATGAGGCAGAGAAGATTGGATGATAGGAACAGCTATTTTGGAGAAAACAAGACATTATAATAGCTAGTGCTGATTTAATATCCTCTTGTTTTGAAGTCCCATCAAGCTTTTGTTCTTCTGTCTCCATCAGTTTTAACCTGTTGTATCTTATTGGATTTTATTATATGTGATAATATAAACAAAAACTTTTATAGACAAGGAGATTATACAGAAACCATTGTTCATTTTCTGTTAGTTGATTCTAAATACCCTGTAATACTGTCATTCTCTTGAACAGTTTTACATTGTCTTGATATGTTTGATGCTATGGTATATGAAGTTATACCCAAAGATTTTAAGGGAAGAGACACTATGGTAACTACTATAATGTTGAGATTATCTTGTGGTGAAACACTATTTTGCTTAAATGGCTATGTTTTAACCTGCGCTGTTTTGTTGTTATGCCCTCTTTTTTATTTCAATCTCCTTTTTATTATCTACTTTTTCATTTTTATCCTTTTAATTAAGGAAAAAATAAATACAAAATAGCAGGATATATTATAGTAACCCACTTTGATTTCCTATTAACTTGATTTGAAACCCTGTATTGCTCTCACCATCTTGTTTTGACTGATTTTCCTCTATTCTATCTTGCTTGCTACTACCAAGTTCGAGAGTATAGGCAACAACTCTGAAGACAATAAGATTCATTATGACGCCCATTCTGGTTTGACTATTATCTTCTTTTGAAGTCCTGTAATGTCTCCAATATTTTGGTTTTATTGGTTTTGTTCTTTACTGTTTTGTTCAATTTTATTATAACTGATGATATAGGCAATTCTTTTTAAGATAGCAAGAGGCATTATGGTAACCAATGTAGATCACTTTGTATTTTGTTTTTACAGTATGTATTATGTCCATCCTTTTGTTTTGACTGACTCTGTTTTGTAACGTCACAGTTGGTTTTATTCTCTTCAAAAAAAATAATAAGAACTGTGGGAGTAATAAAACCCAAAATGTGTAATTGTCATTGTACAAAAGAAAGGAAAAGAAGGTGCTCTAAAGGATATAACTGCATGTATATATATATATATTTTTGTTTGTTTGTTTTTATCGGTACCAGGGATCAAACTCACGACTGCCTACTTGCAAGGCAGGCGCTTATGCCACTAAGTTAAATCCCCAGCTCCCAACTGCATGTATGTTTAAGTGTATAAGATAGATAACCATATTACTGAGTTTTGCTGGATCATTGAACAAAACTGTTTGCAGTCTCACTGTTTGAAAGTCTCCTCTATATGCTTTAATTTTGTAACTTGAACAACTATTTCAAAGATGACAATATGTAATTAACTAGTGGTTTCCTACTGTTTATTTTTTCTGAAATTCTGTATAACTTGTACCCTTTTCTGTTTTTTTTTTCTTTTTTCTCCTTAAATAAAATTTAAAAATAAATAAATAAATAAATACATTTAAAAAAAATAGAAGGGATAATTCAGTTTATACGTACTTTCAAGCTGAGAATCTAATCTGGCTAAGAACTGGATGTTAAAAATTGCCTTCAGCAGATCTTCTGGGAAACATTCTAGTATGGCCAAAGAGTGACCAAGATACACTAACATAAGCGGATCCAATGTATCTGAAAGAAAATTAAGATTGGAATAAAATTAGGATGTACAACTGCCCTGCAGACACATGGATCATTTATCCACATACAGTTAAGTTTCTAAAAAGTGATAAACATGAACAAAACTCATGCAGTCTGCTTTTGAGTCAGCAAGAGGTCAAGTGTCACCTTTGGGGGTGGCAGAGTAAGCACAGGAGACAAGATACTATGTAACGAGTCCCTGAATGATTCAATTTGTGAAAATTCAAACTATTACACTAAGTTAAGTGAATGTTACTGCTATTATTACACTTTAACTACAATTTTCAGAACTGCTTTGAAAAGACAAAAAGATCCCAAGGAGACGCGCTGGGGGCCCTGCGCCTGGTGACAGTGAGGTGCTCTGAACGCCTCAGGTCCTGCTCTAAGTCCCGGATCCGTCCTGAGGAGCTGCACATGGGAGTGGTGGCCACAGCCTCTGCTCGGAGTCTGCGCAGGCTGCAGAGTTTGCAAGCGGGTCAGACAATTCAGGAAGACCAACTCCACCACATACAGCTGCTCTCTGAGGACTCAGATCCAGGTTGAGCACAGGCTGAGGCTTGGGTTTTGGCTTAGGGTCTCCCCCTACCTGTCACCCACAGCATGGCAGCTGAGATGAATATATACTTCTCAGATAAAGAAATACAAACAGCAAATAAATACAGGGAAAATGTTCAACATCGCTGGTCATTCGAGACATGCAAGTTAAAACAACACTGAGATTTCACCTGACCCCAGAAAGAATGGCTGTTATCAAGAAATCAACCAACTGGGAAACCAAGCAACCAGACTGCTTCCCTGGTAAGCAGCTGTGAACCTATCAGCACGAGGGCTGAGAATCAAACATCCCATTACCCCCCCCCCCATATCCCACCCTGTTAGCAAATGGGAGCCAGAGGCCTGAGCATATGCAATATAGCAAATAGGGGATTTCCTTCTACCACCTCTTTGAAGGCAAATATTGTTATCACTGTTTTGCTTTATTCTGATTAATTGTATTGCTCTATTCAATATTGTTTTGATAAGTTCTATAATGTTCTGTATTTGGTTTGATTTTACTATACCTGATTGAAGAACAACTATTGTGAAGATAACGAGATATACTAGGGTACCTATTACTGTTATCTCGGTAACCTGTTGTGACGCAATTTCACTGCACTGTTTCAATTGGCTTTGTTCTGTCTTGTTCTGTTATATTTCACTAAGTTCAAAAATTTTTTTTAAATCCCTAAAAAAATACAAAAGAAATCAACCAATAACAAATGCTGCAGAAGCTGTGGAGGAAAAGGAACCTTTCTGCACTGTTGGTGGGAATGAAAACTGGTGTAACTACTATGGAAATCAGTGTGGAGATTCCTCAGAAAACTAGGATTAGAGAACCCGTGGGACCCATTTATTCCCCTTCTGAGTATCTTCCCAGAAGAATTAAAAACATCGTACCACAGCAATATATATGCACCTATGTTTATAACAGCATAATTTGTAATAGCTAGATCTTGGGAACAACCCAAATACACATCAACCCAAGAATGGATAAAAAAGATGTGGTATTTTTATACAATGAAGTGCTACACTGCCATAAAGAAGCATGAACCTGAAACATTTCTAGCTAAATGAACGTAACTTATAAGTTACATTATACATATATATATGTACTTATAAGTGAAATAAATCAGACTCACATGTGTAAACACTATATTGTCTCCCCAGTGTGAAAAGCTGAAAGAGTAAATAAGATCCAAAATGTACAATAAATAATGTGAAATGGGAAGAAACTGTTCAAAAGGAAAGAGAATCTGAGATGGGGGGAAAGGAGAAAAGAAGGGAAAAAATATACACATACAAGATAGTTAAGATACTTATACTACTAATTTCTCTTAGTTCACTGAAAAGAAAGGTTTGTGCTAATATTGTTTGGACAATTAAATGTCTATGTCTTATACTCTGAGTGATTAACTTAAAGTTAACAATATACATTGCATTAACTATTGTTACTCTCCTATTATCTTGTTTTGAGATTATTTTTTTCTCTTTAGAATAAAATTTTTAAAAATGAATCAATCAGACAAATCCATACTATGATACAATCTATAATAAATGATCAATTTCTATTATGAAAAATATCAGGAAAAAATGGGAAAAAGAACCATAAAAGAAAAAACTAACATAGACTATGGGCGACAAACAGGTAACAACCATAATGTGAATTTTGCCTGGAACCACTCTAAAAAGCATTTTGGGAAAAACTAGGCAGATTGACGCACAAGCAGTCTGTTAGATATCTGGGGATTATTAAGTTTCTGAGGGGTGCTGGTGGCACGTGGCTAGCACAGGAGTGTTATTCTTCACAGCTGTGTGCTACAGTCAGTAGTGGGGAGGGCTCATAATCCCTACCAGGCACTGAAATGGTAAAATGAGGGTATTACTGGACCTCCAGTGTGAGCACGCAGGTGTTCCCTGTGCAATTCTTCCATATAAGTTTATCACTTCCCATAATAGAAAAGCTCCTCCCACCCTCAATATAAAATACATTTATTTTGTCATGTTTTTTAGGGTTCAGAATCCATGGCTATCTCAGTCATTTGCTCATTGCTGAGACACAATACCCAACCCTCGGTTAAGAGGAGGAGAGGTCTATTTGGGCTCGAGGTTCAGTCCATAGTCAACTGTCCTCAAGGCACAAAGGCACAGTGGAGGGACCTGGTCCAGGCCAGGTCGGAACCACCTGCCGGGTCAGCAACCAGGAAGTGCAGAGTGAAGACAGGAGCCGGGAAGGGAGATGCACCTTCCAGGCCACACCCGCAGCAACTGCCTCTTCCAGCCAGACTCGCCTCCTCACAGCAAGCCTGCCCTCGGCCCAGAATCCCATCTTCTTCCAGTAGCCTCACCTCTGAGCTCAGGAGGCTCTAGGGGGCATCCAGGAATAAAGCACAACAACGGCTGCTATGGTTTCCCCGTGTTGAGGGACCTCTCTCTAGCTCAGTACCTGTGACCCACTAATTCAGTCCACTGCCCAACAACAACATACCTAAGTGAGAATGAAGGCACTGCACGCACAGTCCCAAAAACTTGTCCCTTTGAGGAGGGTCATAGTTCATGGTGCTGAATGGTAGAATAATAGCAAGGATTGAAAAAGGATGGATCTGCATAAAGAGAACAGAATTCTTAGCGTTTAAAGTTCAGCAAAAATAAAACCAAGTTTTAGCCTGATTATTATTTTATTATTATTATTTATTATTATTTCTAACAGGACTATAAGTGATAACTGAATCACTCTACTCATTAATTATTCCATCCTGTATAACTAATTATACCTATGACTAATTATTAGTAACTTAGAACATGTTAATGAAAAAAGATAATGTACAAATTAATTTGTTACATGAATTTCCAGAATATATTACTCATGAATTTAGGAAATGAAATATTACTTATTTCTGTGATATCAGTATATTTTATAGTGTCACCATACAATACAAAGTTTCTTAATTTATAATGATCACTGTTTATTTTTCTTTCATTTATTATTTTTTCATTATTCACTCACCAATTCAATACTTAAGGACTACCAAGTACTAAGCTAAGCAAATACTTTTCATTTTTGAGAAATACTGCCCTCTAAGAGTCTTATCCTGATATACATACAATAATGGTTTTGTAAGTGACCTGCTTCTCACGTAATCCATAAAGCAACATTTTGCAAGTTAGTTCCAGAAAGGAATCAGTAAAAGTATACACAGATGATTTAAGAATAACAATACCAGTAGATACCTTATCAATTTCTAAATTTTCATGCATATCTCGCAACTTTGTGGTTTTAAACACTGCTAGATTACAGAAAATAAGAAAAAGCAAACATACACCCTATCTTGCTACACCTCCTATCATAGTGGGTATTTCCTTCTTATTCAAGGAATTCTGATCCCTGATCAAGACAATATTACAGAGGCAACAGATGCCTGCTGACTCAGCCACACCTGCAGCATTGGAGGGAGAAAGGTGATTTAAGGCAAAGGCTGTAACAAACTGCTCAACCAGAAACCAGTTTCATTTTTAAACCTCAAATTCTTATTCAAGTTCCCAAAAGTACTTATGATAAAAAAAATTGTGCTTGTACAAGCTGGCAACTATATAAAACACAGAAAAAAATTTAAAAGGTAAGTAAATAATAAATAAAATTAATATATAACATTTAAATCTCACCTTTTCAATCTGCTGAACAACCACTGCTGCTATCCTATCAAGTAGCGAAGTACTAAGATAGTTAGTTTTAGAAATAAAACATGCAATCTTTGCAACATTTGTGTAATTAATTTCATCGATCAAACGCTGCAAAACCGCAATTGTTTCTTCCAGAATTGATTCTTGAAACCAGTCTCCTTTTACAAATTGGAGGTCCTCCAATAAAAGAGGTAAATTGTTGCTCTGACGTAAGCTCTGACGACTGTAGTGATTTAGTTTTTGAAGTAGATTCAGCTGTTTCCCAATAACTCTACCCAAATACATGTGATCATACTGAATCCATCTTAAAACAGATGAGGTGCAGTCAACGAGGTCCCTGAGATCACACTGTGGTATAAGTGCTTCAACCCGGGTCATTGTGGCTTGGTCCAGGCTAGTGGAAGGCAGCAGAGACAGGGCATAGAGCAGACTGACAGTCTCGCTCTTGCGGACGCTAACCTTGAAGGAACTGAAAAATAAGCAGAGGAAAGGAAAACAAAACTTAACGGACCAGCAGCAAACAATACATATTAAAATACGAATCTATCATTATCCTTATAATTAATAAGTGAGCTAGGCCTAAAATACAATTAAAGAAGATTTTGATGAATTCAAAAAGATGAAAGGTGACGAAAGAAAATCTAAGATGTCCTAAAGTATGCTCAAAACAGAATTCTTTTTTCTCCAAAATAAAACCATAGTCCCTGGCTAACAAAATGTCAGTGTTAGAACAATGTTCCCTGTGCTCTTTATTGCTGGAGCCAGAATCTCAGTCGAGTTTCTGACCTTCAAAAGCTGATACAACCTAGTTCAGGCCCTGGCACACAGTGGTCACTCAATAATTTTGTTTTTATCCCACGTCTAGTGTATAGAAAGCTCAACCTTAACACACACACACATATGTGCACACAACATACAACAGAGCCTATCTCTGTTATCCCCAAATCCCCATGTAATGGTTCTACCACCAGGACAACACTAGTCAAACCACAGCTTTAAACTAGCAGCTTTTGAAGAATCTTTATTAGTAGCAGATGGAATAATCCAATTTAAAACAAAATTAGGCTGGTATAGTGGCATATACCTGTAATTCCAGCACTCTAGGAGGCAGAGTCAGGAGCATTATAAATTCAAGACCAGCCTGGCCACTTTAGGACCCTGGAAGACCTTGTCTCAGAAGAAAAATTAAGGGATGTAGCTCAGTGCAAAGGCCCTGGATTCAATCCCTGGCAATGAAAAAAAACAAAAAAAACTGAATAAAATAATCATAATATTCAGTAGTAGGCCAGGTGTGGTAGTACACACTAAAATCTCTGCTCTCAGGAGGCTGAGGCAGGAGGATCGTCATGAGTTCAAGGCCAGCCTGGGCTACATAGCAAGACTGTATCTCAAAGAATTCAGTGCTAGAAAGATGCATTGATATAATGCTAGAAGGGCACATTGATATAGGCATTCTTATTTTCTATTAATAAGCTTAGAAGGGTGCTATAATGCTTCTTTAAACAGTATGGTTTAAGTATTTAAAAGTAATTATATAATTTACATGAAGAAGCCCAATCTAGGAAACAAATCTAGGGAAAAATATCTAAACTATACATAATCTGGACACAAAAATAAATCATACTGTATGATTCTGTTACAGGCAGCTGAGTTAGATAGAAATATTATAGGCAGTCAGACAGGGCTGGGCCCTCAAAGGAGCCAGTGCAGGAGACCAGATATCTTGCAACTGTGGGGGAGACAGACACCTCCACTGTAGGCCAGACCTGAAGACAAAAGATAAATCAAATGCACCCACATACTTCCCAAGGATAAGTACCAGGAACTGATATTCCAACTAGGTCTCTGTCATCCTGAGGAAGCCAGGAGTCACTATCCCAACCCCCTTCAGGAAGAGTCACTGTTCTTTAAGCCTGCCTGATTACTAAGTGACTCACTTCCCCATTTGTTCCCGATTTAATCAATTTCACCTGAGTAATTAATCTTATTGGTTGGCTATAGTTCTGTCCCACCTTATGCCCAACTTGTGAGTTCCTATGTTTTCCCCACCTTAGATCTGCCTCAGTTTGTGGTTTTACTCTATAAAGTCCTAGAAAAGAAGACAGAGCCTTTGGTAATCTACTTAGGATCCCATCTCTCTCAGACAGACATTTTCTTTCTCTCAATAAATATATTCTACTGTTAACCTCCGTTGTTCCTAAAATTCATTCTTCAATTGTAGAGAACACGAACTCATCCTGGACATCTAATAGGCTGGCAGTTTTGTTTCCTTATATCAATTCCACTTATATAAACATAGAGACATCCAGGCATGTTGGTGCACACCTACAATCCCAGATACTTGGGCAGCTGAGGCAGGAGGAGTCAGGGTAGGATGGGCAACTGAGAAAGTGTCTTAAATAAAATAAAAGGATGCAACTCAGAACTGTCTAGTTTAATTCCAAGGCCTGAAAAATCAATAAATACAAAGGCCAAGCTAATCCATACAGTTAGAACTGGAAATAGTAGTTAACCATAAAATGAGAGCAAAGTATTGAGACAAATGTACATTATAAGTAATTATACTTAAGTTAAAAAGAGATAAGCTGGGTGTGGTGGCGCAAGCACTAGTGGAAGATGGAGGGAAAATGCAAATCTGGTTTGAACCTCATTTCATCTCAGATAGTATTTTAGCTTTTGTTTCTTTATTTTGGGGAGAAGGGTGCTATGGATTGAAGCCAGGGTTTCAAGCATGATATGCAAGTTCTCTACCACTAAGCTATATCCTCAGCCTCATTCTAAATTTTTGGGTTTTTTTTTTTTTGTTTTTTTAAAGACAGGGTCTCAGGCTAGGGATTTAGCTCAGCTTGCCTGCCTGGCAAGTGTAAGGTCATGACTTTGATCCCAATACCAAAAAAACAAAACAAAACAAAAAAAAACTTATTTAAAAAAAAAAGTCTCACTATGCAGTTCAGGCAGGCCTCAAACTTGCGGCAGTCCTCCTGCTTCAGCCTCCTGATTGCTGGGCTTACAGGCATATGCCACCATGCCTGACTCATTCTAATTTTTTTTTTTCTTTTTTTCGGTACCGAGGATCGAACTCAGGAACTCCTGCTTGCAGGCAGGTGCTTATGCCGCTGAGCTAAATCCCCAGCCCCAACATTCTAATTTTTAAAATAGAAGTTTTCATGGGTGGGGCTGGGGGTGTAGCTCAGTGGCACAAGTACCTGCCTGGCAAGTATGAGATCCTGAGTTTGATCCCTGGTACCAAGAAACAAAATAAACCAACCAACAAACAAAAATTTCATGGAAAATTCCATTTCAGCCTAATAATAAAAGTCAATGAAATACTTGAATAGGGTCTGAGGATTTAGCTCAGTGGCACAAGCACCTGCCTGACAAACGCAAGGTCATGAGTTCAAACCCTAGTACAAAAACAAAAACAAAATAAAACCCCAACTGAATAACGTCTTAGTAAAAATAAAAATAAAATTGTTACCTCCTTAGGAAAAAATGATTTTACATTATAAAGGAAAAATTCTGCATGAATTCTGCATGGAAACCTTTTTCACTAACACCTCTGTTACTCAGTTATCTTACTGTAAAAGCGAGCTAATTAAGCTGAATGTGACGACACACGCCTGAAATCCCACTGAAGTCCCAACTACTCAGGAGGCAGAGGCACAGGGACCACAGGGTGAAGGCCATGTCCAGCAGGCAGCCAGATGCCCCTACCCACAAAGGAGCACTCACCAAAAGAAAAAGAAGTGAGCCAGATTGTGAGGTGCTGTCATTACTGAGCTTCTATGTGGAGTTTGGCCTTTCAGAGCAGCCTCCATCTTTTAGTTGTTATTCCATTCCTACAGCAAAGAAGAGCCTGGCTGTTCATTCACTGCTTCCCCCGACGGGGGACTCAGTCACCCAATAGGCTTAATTTCCAATTTTTCTTTCTTTTTTTAAGACAAGGTATCATTATGTAATGCAGCCTGGCCTTGCATTCTTTTATGTAGCCCAGCCTGGCCTCAAACTCACTGCAATCCTCCATCAATTCAATGGGTGGCAAGGCAAAGGTCACAGAGAGAGGTAATTGTCTTAGCATGTTTAATGGTTTGATGCTATCATTGTTTTGTTTTGTTTTTTGAAGTTTTGTGGTGGGGATGGAACCCAGGGTATCAAGCATGCTAAACAAGTGCTCTGCCATCCAGCCTGATACTCAGCCCTTCACATTTTAATAAGTGACCCAATTTTGACTCCAAAAGTTTCAGCAATTCTGCATATAATTAAATAAACAAATATTGCAGCTAGTTTATAAAAGGAAACATTAACTGGACACTTCTTTTTTAAAAAAAAATCTTACCTAAGTAGTAATTCTCTGAGTTTCGTGAAAACTTCTTTATTTTGAAACTGGAGAAAAATTAATGCTTGAGTTATCTTCGACAGCTCCATTGGACTATAGTTTTCCAAATTTTCATACAGAATTGAAGCAATTCTAAAACAGAATGACAAAACATATTAAAACAAACTCATTCTCTTATTCATTAAACATTGTGAAGTTTTTATGCCAGCCAATATTTCATGCTAGAGAAATTCAGTAAACGAGACAATGTTTTCTATTTTTTTGAGGCTATCTCAAAATTGAACACAAACATAAAGAAAATAAAATGGACATGGGTGTGGTGGTGCAAGCCTGGAATCCCAGCACTCCAAGGGCTGAGGCAGGAGGTCTGCTGTAAATTTGAGCCCAACTTGGGCTCTAAAGTAAGTTCAAGGCCAGACTGAACTACATAGTGAGATCCTATCTCAAAAAGACAAAAAGTAAATAAATAAATAAACAAAAAAATAAAATACAATGACGTAGGATCAATGAAGTACGAATGAAATATTCAATTATAACAGTAAGAGGAGAAAACAACATGTGAGTTCCAGACCAGTCTAGGCTACAAAGTGAGCCCAAGACCAGCCTGAACTTGAACAGTGAGACCCTATCTCAAAAAGACAAAAAAAAAAAAAAAAAAGGTGTAACAGTTTTTGTTTTGTTTTGGTACTGGGGATCGAATGGCAACCTGACGCTTGCCAGGCAGGCGCTTATACTGCTGAGCTAAAACCCCAGCATAAAAAGTGTAACAAAAGAAGAAAGCCCAGGATACGATAGCTTCATTGCTGAATTTTACTAAAGGTTAATGGAGAACTAATTTTAATGTTTCTCAACTATTCCAAATTATATGAAGCCAGCATTGCCCTGTTATCAAAACCTGACAAGCACACAACCAAAAAGAAAACCATAGAGCCAGGGATGTAGCTCAGTGGCATAAGCACCTGCCTGGCAAGTGCAAGGGCCTAAGGGGGGTTATCTCCAGTAACCCCCCCCCCCAAAAAAAAAAACCCAAAAGCCAAAATGCTATTGACCAGTGGTGGCAAACCTATGACACACGTGTTGCAACAGGCTGTTTGTGTCATTGAAAGCTCTAAAAAATGCTCCACCACAGTTACAGACTGATATCCTTGATGAACACAGATCAAAAATACTCAGCAAAATACAAATCACATTCAACAGCATTTTACAAAGATCATATACCATGCACAAGACAAAATATCTCTACAGTATTTGCAGATATACATGAAAAACCTAAAGACTACCAAAAGACTATTATGAACCCTATAAAGTAGCAGCAAACAAAAATCAGCATATATAAATTACTAGCTTTTTCTATACTTCAACAATGAACTTGTTGGGAAAGAAATTAGGAAAGTGCAATCCTACTCACAATAGCCACTAAAAAATACCACCCAGTAACAAACCTAAGGATGTGAAAGATCTCTACAATAAAAATCATAAAACACTGAAGAGTTCAACAAGACACTCAAATGTAAAAGGACCTCCCATGTTCATGAATTGGGAGAATTAATAGTATTAAAATACCCATACTACTCAAAGCAATCTACAGACTTGATATAATCCCCATCAAACTACAGCTAACATTTTTAACAGAACTAGGAAAAAATAATAGTAAACTTTATATTGAAGCACAAAAAATCCCATACAAAGAAATTTTGAACAAAAAGAATAAAACTGATTTTCTGATATACTACAGTCACAGCAAAAACAAAAAACAAAACAAAACCCCAGAATAACACAGTATTGACATAAAAACAAACATGTAAGCATTGGAAAAGAAGACCCAAAAATATATTTTACACATTTTAGGTCAACTGATTCTTGACAAAGATGCTAAAAATGTACACTGGAGAAAGAACAGACTTTTCAGCCAATGGCAATAGGAAAATTGGATACCCACATGAGTTCACTGCAACTCAATAATCTATACAGAAATCTACTCAAGGTGAGTGTGGTGGTGCATGCCCATAATCCCAACATTTTAGGAGGCTGATACAGGATGCTTACAAGTTCAACCCCAGCCTGGACAATATGGCACCTTAAGGAGATCCTGTCTCAAAATAAAAAAATTTTTAAAAACTATTAAGCATATATATAATTTAATTATATTTTTTCTTCTTAAGTCTCAAGTTACCAAAAAAACCAACATGTAACAATATGGATTTAAGGTAACAGTATGATCTGAGACAATGCAGATTCCACATATGGATGTTTTCTTTTTGAACAGAAAGGACCTTCCCACTATGCACTGCACTTCCAAAGGTCATCATGCACTGCTTGAGCATCAAAGCAGTAAAGGAAATGACAGAAGCATGTTCGGTGGTGTTTCCTCCTGCTGCCTCCTTTTGTCTTGCTTTTCCCCCTTTCACTGGCCCAAGCTCACTCTGCAGACCCATTTCTCTCTTACTTTTCTCCTGTACTTTATCAAATAAACTTTGCTACCATGAAAAGAAAGACAAATAAATAATTTCCTCAGCCCTCTATCGTGAAAGGAAATTAAAACATGAAACTAATGGCTCAACTGCTCAGTCCTTATTTTTCCAAAACAAGCTGGGGATGCAACTGCGGGCCTTGCCCGTGCTGGGCAGGCGTTCCACCACTGAGCTGCATCACTAGCCCTAATGCCACGGCTACAGAAAATCACCCTTTACTCAGAAAAGCAGCTACCTAACTTATAACGACAACTACATTTAACAACATGAATTTTAGGAAAGACTACTTTTTAATCAACTGTGAATTTCTGCTTTCCATTTCTTCCATTACTGTCACCACCGCCAGGGCTTGCTTGCTGGTCAGCTGCTCCGACATCAGTAATAGAGTTGACTTAAGTCTGGAAGCAAAGAAAAATAATTTTATGTTGAAAAACCGAAAATTAGTTTGTAATTTAAAAAAAAAAAATAACAGTTTCCTGTTAACAAGCAGAGAAGACACAGATAAAAATTGAATTCAGTATGTAATTCCAATTTTCTGCCCACATACTTGGGGATAATAGATAATTAATTCTAAAACTATGTATTTTCTTCAAAGCAAGTAAAGTCATATATAGGTCAATCCTTAACTGTTTCTTTAAAAAACACAAATAAAAGGTCTTTGATAGCTTTTCAAATAAGAAAGTTATAATGGTTATAAAACATTATTATTCCATTAAATTATACAGTATTAGTCAGCAAAGGAGTTAATAACATCCCAATGTTTTAAAATTCAGTGAGATCTAACCAGAAAGTCAATTTACCTTCATATTAACAAAATTAACATACTAAATATCTGCCAGAATGCTATGAACTGAAACTTAACAAGATGGTCCATTTTGAAACTGTAATCGAAGTGCTACAGTAATGAAAGGATCAGGATTGTCTTTTGGAACAATACAGAAGGTAAATCCAAAAGATGACATCTGAGGATACCAGGATAAGTGTTCTATTCATACTGGATATTTCCATGTAATCCTTTTCACCAGCCTGATCAGTATTTCAAACGCATCTTCTCACCAAAATTTTTCCTAACCACTTCAGTCTACATTTTTCTCTTGCTTTTGCTGCCCACAGCACTTATGATCTGTCACACTAATTTTAGTACTTGATCATACACCATGTTGTGATGTGATGGAATTTACATATTTCAATTATTTCTAATATTAGCAAATTAAATTAAATTAAAGTATTTAATTTCATTTCTTCCTAACTGAAATATAAATTCCGTAGACATAGGAACTTGATTAAATTTGATTTCTGTACTGCTTTAGCATGTATGAAATAAACAGTGCTTGGTGACAAAAAAAAAAAATGATTCCAATAAGGTCTTAAAATAATCACACGGTAGCCAGGGTACTGGCACACCTGTAATTCCAGCACTTGGGAGGCTAAGACAGGAAGATCACTGCGAATTCGAGGTCACTCTAAACAAGAGTGAGACCTGGTGTCAAAAATAATTTAAATAAAAGAATCATGTTGTTTTCATCTAGATACAATCTCTTAAAATGTGCTCTTAAATATTTTCATGTAATTCAAAGGACTCTTACAACTAAATCCTCCAAAAAGTCTTTCCTAATAGAGTAATGACGCAGATTCCTCTGTTGCACAAGTTCCTAGAAATGCTGCTTAACTGAATCTACTAACCCTAGTTATCTATAAGGACCACTCTAATTCTTATGGACCAGTCATAATAATCTTATGTATTAATTTAGTATTTGTCATTTTTACACCCTAGGAATTTCTTCTTCTTCTTTTTTTTTTTTTTAATCAGTACCGGGGATTGAACTCACGACCCCCTGCTTGCAAGGCAGGTGCTTATACCGCTAAGCTAAATCCCCAGCCCCCACCCTAGGAATTTCTATCTAAATCAGTATCTGGCAAAGCTGGAAACTCCTCAGAGAGATAATCTAGATAAATCCACTCAAACCTCACGTGGGGACAGATGGCCTAAGTACTGTGGGGATGAATGTGTTGAAGACAACAAAGTATAAACCGGTCCACGGTTAGGACTCCTACAGTTCTAAATATTCCATACAATCATGCTGGTAGGAGAGGGGCTTGCACAGGAGAATAAAAGAACTTCAGTGGTGTTTTATCTCATCTTTTTCTGTGTTGGTCCAGTACCATGGATTTCTTGGCCAACTTCAGACGAAGGGCAGAAGCTTTAAATGAGAATAACCAGATAGAGAACCAAGGAGCACAGCATGGTAGATTATTTACCTTTCAACAGTCTAGTGAGGTCATTTCTGTGCTTCCTGTCAGGGGGACAAAGTTGAAGACTCCATGTACTCCAAACAAGAAAAACAAAGCACTTTAAGCTGAACTTACTGTTTCTTTTCTCGAAGTCCCGCCACCGGTCCCAATGCCACAAACAATTTTACAAAGCTTTCAGGGTGACTGACCAAAGGAATCATCTCAGCAAGCCTCTTTTTAGCCACTGAAGTAAATTCAAAACTGTAAAAGTGCAGAAACTGGTATACAGCAAGTATGTTACTGATGCCATCCAAATCAAGGAGCGTCACATTGCTTAAAAACACTTTGTCACACCGCTGTAATAGTGGGTAATGGGCACATTTAACATTTCTAAGAAACTGTACTATTTGTCTTGCAGTGCTGACTTGAGAAGAATCTAGGGTGTCAAAAAGAAGTTCTGTTTTCTTTACTAATTTTTCTTGAAAATGTTGTGATATTAAAGAAGATATGCTGACCATCAAGACAGACAAAGACCTGAAAAAGGGAAAAGACACAAAAGATTTACATTACTAAAAAAAATGACCTAGTCTAAAACTAAATAGTTGGATACAGAAAAGAACTGATAAAAAGATTGTTTTATACCATAAAATCTTCCGGGTTTTTGTTTTTGTTTTTGAGACAGCGTCTTTCTACATAGTACATTATGTAGCCCAGGCTGGCAGTTCTCTTGCTTCAGCCTCCCAAGTGCTGGGATTATAAGCATGTGCCACCACACCTGGCCAAAAAAATTTTTTAATATTGGTAGAACTTAAACTCAGATTTCATAGTAATCAAACACTTGTAGACAGAAATAAGTAAAACAATCTTTTTCACTAACTGTGTTAAATGCCTTGTTTTATAGACAAACTGTCAATGGAAAAAAAATTTTAGTAAAATTTACAAAGCAACAACTTTGGGCCGATAGCCCATGAAAGTCTTGTTTTGTATTTTCGCAAGGTAACTTTTTTTTTGGCTGTTTGAGACACAGTCTCACTCTATAGTTCAGGCTGCCCCTTAACTCATTGTTTAGCCCAGGATGGCCTCAAACTTGTAGCCATCCTCCTGCCTCAGCCTCCTGAGTGCTGGGATTACAGACCTGCACCATCATGCCTGGTTTTTTGGTTAAAAGTTGACTTTTTTTTATTAATATTCAATCCAAGACCTCTGCATTGAGTTGCATTCCCAGTCCATTATATTTTTTACTTTGAGACAGGATGTTACTAAATTGTTAAATTGCCCAGGCTGGGCTTGAATTTGCAATCCAGGTCCTCCTTCAGCCTCCCAGTGTGCTGGAATTACAGGTATGTACCACCACACCCAACTTACTAATAAAACCTTCATGAATGATTTCATGTTTTAGTATTTCATGCCATACTGGTATTTATACAACAGTAAGACAGTACTGCACGTGGAGTGGCACTAAACATTCTTTCACTCGATAAACACTTAAAGAGCATGAGTCATTTTTCTAGGTACTATGAAAGACTTCAAAATTACTAAAGTGGTTACCAGTTAATGGGTCCCAGAGAAATTTTTTCCAGGTTTTTGGTGTCCTAAACAAAGACTTGGACGAGCCACACAGAAAAGGCTGCAGAGATGGGACCTTTAATGAAGAGAGAAACAAGCACACTCTGCTGTGAGAACAGACGCCAGCAGCCACAAGGACAAGGGATGGGGTTCTTTTGTACCTGAAATTCCTGGACTGGGTTTTCTCCCATGCAAATAAGGAAAGGGGACCACTGTCTCATCAAAAATTCACCTGGCCTGGCACTGTCCTACCAGAGACCTGCTTGGTTTTGCTCTCTGTGTAAATGAATGAAAATGCACTTTGCTAGTTGGTTGCATTTTCAGAGCTTGGGAATCCCAGAGGCATCATGGATCCTGTGTTTTGTGAATGTACCCTGTGTTTCCATGATTTTGACAAGATTATGCCAAGCTGTTTCACCAGTTTTGTCCCAGCCCTAATTCCTACCTCAGCATGGTTTGTATTTCAACAAATTATTTTACATAATAGGCTTACAAAACCCAGAAAACTATAAATACATGGCTGGATGATAATAAAGTATGCAAAAATGGAAAAGACATAAAGTAAATTCTTGGGAATCGTAATGAGGCAGGAGGATGGCAGGTTCAGGCCCAGCCTGTGCAACTTAGAAAGACTTTGTATGAACACAAAGCCTGAGTTTCCTATGCAGCAAATGAAGCTATAAATGCTGATCTCAAAAGGATGTTTACAGTCAAATATCTGCCCTCTTTTCTCCCCCTTTCCCTCCCCCTGCCCTCTCTCTCAGACATAAGAAACTAATGCCTTCTGCCCGCACACATGTTAATGTGGCAGATGGGGTGGGGATGTAGCTCACCGGTTATGCATTTGCCCAACATTCATTAAGCCCTAGATTCCAGCAGTGACAACAAAAAATTAAAAAATTAAAAATAAAAAGGAAGAGGAGGGAGAGGCAGAAAAAGAGGAAAAGAAGAAAAGAAAATGTGGCAGGCAAATCTGCTAGCATGTAAGATAAAAATCAACAGACCTTTCATAGATCCCTTTGAAAGAGTGTTATACTTTGTGTTATCTCTGAACCCAACCACAAAGCAGACATTACTGTTTTATAGATGAGGAGAATGAATTAGTCTTATGTCCCATAAATACAACTGGCAAATCTTATTTCTGCATCCAAAACTCGAGTAAGACCTTTTACCATAATAGCAGTCCCTAAATAAATTTACCTTAAGTCCTGTATAGACTCCAACTTCCTATTTACAACATCAGCTATTTTTCCCATTAATGGACTGCAGTGCAACTGTTGATCTGCTAGGCAAGCAGAAAACGTTGACAGTGCATTCATATCAAACCTAGTAAGAAAAACACATAAAAAATTAGAACATTAAAAGTATAAAAAGTAACCAACCAATAATAATAGTAGTAGTACAAATCTTTCTAAAATTTTGATTACTGATTATTAAAAAAGTAACAAAGTATAAACGGAAAATTATTCAAAATCATTTGAATCATTTACTTATCATTTTAAGATGGCAATTTTGAAACAACCACTGTAATAGTTCTGTGAAAAACTTCAGCCTGTACACCACACACAGACCCTGCCCCTAGCCAACTCCATGCCAGTGGATTTTACTCCCTGGTCGTGGCCATCCACCAACTCCAAGAGCACTTGTGTTTTGTTTCCCCTGGGAGCCTGTATCACGGAAGCATAGCCATCAACACACAAACAGATAAAGAAAAGGAGGTTATTTATACACAGTGGAATAAGTAAGCATCCAAGTTGCGAACTGTCACAGATGCGAAGGGACCTCACATTACAAAATTCACAGACGAGAACAAATTCTGGAAATAGCTCGCGTGTGAGCCTGCTGGACACTGTCACAGTGGTGCTGCTGGGTGCCTACCGCAGTGAGGAAGTGTACAGCACTGCAGTGCTGAGAGCCCCGGGTATGCATAAGTGAGAGGAAAAGCAGTGGTGATCCGCTGGTGGTGCTTCCTCAGGGCCCACCGCTGATTAAGCCAAGCTCACACAGAGTGAGTCAGCACTCTTCCGCAACAGTAATAAAATCAAAGGACCTAAATTTTTAGTAAATTCTGTGGCAGTTATTAAAGTTTAACTGCTATAGTCAAGTACTGGGCATTCTCAGTACTTGAACAATGGAACATGTACACAGGGAAAAGGTAACATTGTCCTTTGTAAGCACTGTACTACAAGTGGAAATGCAGTCTTCAATAAAACTATTTAAAATTGGCACCTAAAAAAAAAAGCAGCGATGATGTGGAAGGGCCTACTAGGAAGAACAAAACAAAACAATAAGCATGAAACAAAAGGGAAAATATCAAGAGATCGGACAAAGGTGAAAAGATCGTAGGTGATGATCATTTTTGTAACATGAATTGCTCAACCCTTGGCACAGTTCTAAAGCACAAGGACAAAATCATGGCACGTGCAAAGTCTGCTGTGCCACTGGAGTCAACACCAACATCCGAAAAGCATGACAATGTGATAGAGGAGATCCAGAAACTTCTCAGTGTGGATACAGGATCTGCAGCAGCATTGAGTTCCACTCAGCTTTACGTTTCCTCAAGAAAATGCTAAAAGCCTATTTGAAAACTTGAAGAAAAAAATGGGTATTCAGGTGCATCTTTCACTGGCAGCCAGCACTGGTTTAACAGATTCAAGGCCAGAACTGAGCTTTAAGACCGAAAGATATCCTAGCTACCCAGGAATTTCCTGCAACACTTACAGAAATTATTGATGAAGGTGCTTTTTTGCCCTAATAGGTTTTAAACATCAATGAGACGGGACTGTCTTCAAAGAGGACACACGAACAAAGTTACATCAGGAAAGAGGAAAAGTGATGCCAGGCTTCAAAGCAGTAAAGGACAGACTTCCTCTGCTGTTTGGCGGCAGTGCTCCTGACAGTACGAGACTAAAACCTCTTTTAGCTTCCCACTCAGAGAGCCCAAGAGCCCTCAGGAACTAGCCAAGAGCTCTCTATGTGCTGTATGGAAGAGTAACTCCCAAGTCTGGGTGACACAGGCCATCTTCCAGGACTGGTGTTTTTACCACATTATCCCAGACATAGAGAAACATTGTTTGGAGAAAGATATCCCTTTCAACATTCTTTTGCTACTTGACAAATGTGGCAAGTCACCCCCAATTCATGGATGACTTTCATCACAACCCCAAGTAGTGTAACTGCCTCCAAACACTATGGCATTCATCCAACCTATGGATCGACGAGTTATTGCGACTTCCAAGAAATATTATTTACATCATACTTTCTGCCAGGTAGTGAAAGTAACTAATGAAACAGGAACAACCCTGTAACAATTCAAAAAGGACTATAACATGTACAAGGCTATAACAAAAATTCACTTCGCTCGGCATGAGGTTTTAGCGCAGTGACGTAAAGCGCCTGCCTTGCAAGCGCACAGTCGTGAGTTTGATCCCTGGTACCAATTTAAAAAAAAGGTGATTGGACTATGTAAGCACCCTAATTAAACGTGATGTTAGAAGGCAAGGTCTGGTCAGAAGAGGTAAATCAGGGTAGGTGGGCCTGCTAGGGTGTGATTCCCTCCCTGGCTGATCCCTTCTCTCTCTGCTTCCTGAGCACCAGGACCTGAGCAGCATTGTCCGTGCCAGCCCCTTCCACCATGGCATCAACCCTGCGGAGTCTGAAGTATCTAAAACAAGCCGAAACAAACTTCTCCTCCCTGAAGTTGTTTATTATAGACAATCCTTTCTATTCTAACTCAGTTTCTCTTTGGTTTTGTAGAATTGTTCTGTGGTTTTTCAAGCCCTCCTTTCTCTTCTTCACATTGACTTTCCTTTTCCTCACTAATTTGCCTATTTCACTAATAATGGCCTTTAGCCACTGAGAATTCCTAGTGTAAAAAATAATTCAACTAAGTCCCATTTGATCCAGCTATTTTGTTTCTGGATATCTTCCCAGAAGAATTAAAAACATCACACCACAGCAATATATGTGCACTCATGTTCACAGTAGCACAATGTGTAACAGATTTTGGAATCAACCTAAATGCCCTTTGACTGAGAAATGGATAAAAAAGATGTGGTACTTTTACACAATGGAGTACTACTCAGCCATAGAGAAGGACAAATGAGACTTGGATGCAAGTTGAGACCATACTCATAAGTGAAATAAGTCAGACATGTACGTGTAAACATCGTATTGTCTCAGTGTGAGAAGCTGAAAGAAGCAATATATGTGTGTGTTTGTGTATATATATATATATATATATATATATATATATATAAAATAGTTAAGATAGTTATACTATTGATTTTTCTGAGTTCACTGAAGAGAAAATTTTGCAGTGGTATTGTTCAGAAAATTGAATACGGATGTCTTGTGCTCTGGGTGACTGATTTGGAGATGGCAATGTGCAATGTATGCACCATTGTCCCGAGTGTTGTGTTTTGAAATTTTTTTTTCCCTCTTTGAAATAAAATGGATTTGTAAAAAAAATTTTTTTTTAAATTTAAAGTTTTCAAAAATAGCTGAAGCTTTTCTAAAATAAGTTATTATCTCTGCTAGATCTTTCCATACAGACTTAAAGAATGTACTTCCCTATAGTGATACAAATACCCTCAATGAATTTCTCACTTTTCTAGATGATTATTGATTATGGCAACATGCTAAAAATATTAACGTGTATAGTACAAAAAATAGATCTCAATGAGTACGTCCACACTAGTGGATCTGAAACATAGTCTCTTTACTCCATTTATATTCTGATTATTTATGTGGAAAAGTACACTTTTGAAGTATTTTCCTTTATTTAAGAAAGAATGTACATGGGTTGGGGATTTAGCTTAGCGGGCCTGGCAAGTGCAAGGTCATGAGTTCCATCCCCAGTACCAAAAAAGAAAAAGAAAGAAAGCAAGCACAAGCTAAGCATGGTGGCACACACCTATATCTCAACATTCAGGAAGCTGAGGCAGAAGGATTACTGTGAGTTTGAGGTCAGCCTGGGCTACATAGTGAGGCCAGCCTGAACTATACTGCAAGACCATCTCAAAAATCAAAACAAAAGGGCTGGGGATTTAGCTCAGGGGCACAAGTACCTGCCTGGCAAGTATGAGGTTGTGAGTTCAATCCCCAGTACCAAAAAAAAAAAAGAAAAAAAATCAGCGAGACAGAGAGAGAAGGGAGAGAGAGCAAGAGAGAGGGAGAATAAATTGAACTTAAATAGGCAGGCAACAACTCCCCAGTATTTTCCTATTAAAGAGAAAATCTAAAGCCTAATGCCTCCAAACCCATCCAAACCCATTTCTACAAGTTTCTGCCTCCTGCCCCAAGTGCAACAGGAAATGTTCTGTTTGTTTAATATGTTCACAGGAATGTTCCTGTGAACTTCTGTCCTGTACCTAAGACCTCCCCTACCTGAAAAATGTAACCTCTGTAAAGTGATCCTGCAAAATTGCACTTACTTCCTCTTATACCCTCCCCAATTTAAACTACAATATAAAACTTCCCAGCCCCATGATTTTTGTTGCCATAATTTGGAGAACTTATCTCCTCTAGGTCAGAGCTGGCTTAATAAAGAGTTTGGTTTTCTCCATCTCTTCAAGTGCCCACTCGGTTTCTCCCGCCCCTGGAGACTTGCAATTCCTGATTCCACAACACTATAGGATTCACTTGTGTACCTTGAAAAGGATAAACCTGATTTTGGATGACGAACCCAGAATACTTGCCTTTCCACTCTTTTCCATGCTTCTGTCACTAGTGATTCAATCAGCGGATCATGGACTGCAACAGCAAACCTCAATAAAAACAAGAGAAAAGAACTCCACACATGCACACTTTAAATTGTAAAAAAGTCATGTAATAAGTTACAAAGAAAAAGCAAATTTCAACTTATTTTCCTTTTACACAGGCAGTCCTCATTTCTGCTCTACTCTTCGACACTCAGATTTCTTGACAGTTTAATTAATATCTATATTTTATCTCATTACCTGTTATACTTTATCTGCTCATTTCAATGCTTTCCTCTGAACAAACAAAATGTTCATCCAGGTATGGTGGCCTATAATACCAGCACTTAGGAGGCTGAGGAAAGAGGATCACTGCAAGTTCAAAACCAGCTTGAACTACATAGCAAAGACCATGTCTCACCAAAAAAAAAAAAAAAAAAAAAAAAAAAAAAAAAGTTCAATGGTTCATATTATGCTAAAAGAACATGTAACATGTATTACTTTATTCTGGTTATAATAAGAGAAAGTGCATAAAATACAGAAAAACGCTGATAGCCACGTGTTGACTTAATCATTAAGTATTCCCTTAATGTACCTTGGAGAATAAACTCTGTGATCTTAGAAAACCAAATAAAAAGAAATTTTTTATTTTTCAGTCTAAATCAATCCCCAATGGAGTAAGGCCTAAAGTCACTTCCCTATAAATACTGATCTTCTTCCCACCCATACCCCTAAAACGCATCTCTCTGACTTGTGTAATACCGACATTTACAACTACTTAAATAACTCTGGAAGGTTGGGCTGTTGTGTAGAAAACTGCTGTTCTTCCATCAATGAGATTAATACTTTCTTGTATGCCTTCTGACTCTTTATTTTCAGAGAGTCTAGAAAAAAGAATCCTGAAAACTCACATTTCTTTGCAAACAATGTAAAATTTCTCAATGCTTAATTTTAAGCTTTTTTTTCTAATAGGGAAACTTTTTTGTTTTGTTTTGCATGTAACACTGTCAATAAGCCACGGAACACAATTTGTGAAACACTTACCCAATATAAATGGGTCTACCAGTGGGGAGGGGAGCACTGAGGATTGAACTCAGAGCCTTCACACTGAGCTACCTCCTCAGACCTTTTTTAATTTTAAATTTTGAGACAGGGTCTTGCAGAATTACCTAGGCTGGGGTCCAACTTGCAATCCTCTTGCCTCAGCCTTCTAAATACTAGAATTACAGGTGTGTACCACCATGCTTAACAGGTAATTCATGTTCTCTTTCCCTCTATTGGCGGGAAGCAACTTATTGTACCCATAGCCCCTAAAATATATATATATATATATATATATATATATATATATATATATATATTTACCATCAATTTAATTGTGAGAAAGATACAATTTATTAACTGCTTGTCATATACTCTGGTTTCTCTTCAGATGATATAAATCTTTCACCTTTTACTAACTGCTTGTTTGTTATTTGACATTCATCTTAAGTTTGATTATCTATTATATTTCATTATCATTAGCCAATCATATTTCTACAAAGTTCTATAATTATCCAGTTTCATATATCCAAAGTTAATCATTTCCACTTTCATGATTATATTCTAATTTTTAAAACTATAAGACTACTGCTAGTCTCCAAAGAATATCTTCCAAATATCTTCTCTTTTTGTATGTTTTAGTTTTTCTTTTTTGTTTTTTTGAGACAGGGTCCTCTATGCAGTTCACACTGGCCTTGAACCTACTATGTAGCCCAGGTTGGCCTTGAACTTGTGTTGTTTTGTTTTTTTGAGACAGGGTCCCCTATGCAGTTCATGCTGGCCTTGAACCTACTATGTAGCTAAGATTGGCCTGGAACTTGTGGTGATCCTCCTGCCTCAGCCTCCCAAGTGCTAAGTTTAGAGGTATGGATTACCGTGACTGGCAAAACTATTTCTAGGAGAAAAAAAGTCACATTTTCAGCCCTCCTGGTAGCTGAGGACTATTATTCCAGCTAATCAGTAGACTGAGGCAGAAGGGTTGCAAGCTTAAAGTGAGCCTGAGCAATGTAGTGAGACCCTGTCTCAAAATAAAGGATTGAAGATGTAGCTCGGTATATATAAAGCACTCGCCTAACATGTGTGGGTTCCTGGATTCAATCTCCACTACTATAAGAAAAGAAAATACACATTTTTAGCTTAAAGACATTTTTAGGAAATTAAAACATAAGTTACAATCATTTCCATCAAACCCACAAGTAACTTACCGCTGGGCAATGTATAACACGTTCACCAGGGTATCATCACTCATTGATTCGATTTTATTTGTAGTTAAGTTACATAGAGTAGGAAACATGGGGTGGTGTCTGATATACTCAACATTTTGTAACGAGTTTGTTTTCTGCCTTTGAAGCCGCCAAAGTATATTAAATGCATGTCCTGCTTGCTGTGCCGAAAGTGTGGCTTTGTTTCTTTCAATGAGATCAAATATTTTCTCTTCATCTGTACACTTATTTATCTGAATAATTAGTCGTTCACAACTGAAGGGTTGAAATGGAAACACTTTGCAGAAGAATGGACAAGTAGCTCTTAGACGAAACATATTTACAACCAATGAGTCTAGTATCCTTAGGTAAAGAAAGCCATCTGCAACCAGCAATCTGCTGGCATTAAAGTAATTTCAGAATTTTGTTTCCTTTATGATGACTAAATTCATTCCAATATGTAGTTTCTGTAAAAGAAAAAAAAATTAGTTTGTCATCTTATCAGTACCGGGGATCGAACTCACCACTGCCTGCTTGCAAGGCAGGCGCTTATGCCACTGAGCTAAATCTCTAACTCCTAAAAAAAAAAAGGTTTAAGTCTGACTACTTAAAGTTTTCAAATTTGACCATAAAGAGGGGGAAGAAAAAACCCTAAACTTGGAAACTTGGAACAGTCTTCCTCACCCACCCATTTCATGGTGCTGGGGAATGAACCCACAGCCTTGTATATACTATGTAAGTGTGCTACCCTCAATCCCTGAGAGCTGACCCTTTAAGTAAAACTGTTGGAAAATATACTACCTTTAAAGATTCTAAAGAGTAGCCATTCAAGTTTTCCTTTGTTTTAATTTTGGGGGGAGAGTTGATACAGGGTCTCTCCATGTAATGCGGGTGGTCTTAAACTTGCAGCAATACTCCTGCCTCAGCCTTCCAAGTGCTGGGATCACAGGCATACACAACCACCATGCCTGGTTTAAAAAAAATTTTTTTTTAAAAGATGATCTCTGGTATTTAACTTTTGAAATACTTTCTTTTTCCTTTCTTCTTGTATCCTAAAAGAACTCAACAAACAATTTAATCATTATTGGGCGAACAAAGGAGACCCTTACAGCACCAATCAAGAAATATTTTAAAATCAAGTAATGTTTCATGATATGTAGAAACTATGTAAGAATCAAAGATTGAGGCTGGGGATTTAGCTCAGCGGCATAAGTGCCTGCCTTGCAAGCAGGCAGTCGTGAGTTCGATTCCTGGTACCGATAAAAACAAAAACAAACAAACAAAAAAAAAAAATCAAAGATTATGAAAAAAGAATTTATTTTAAAAATATATTCTATTTTGTTCCTTTATCAAAGTTGTTTACATTATTCTGAGTCTTTTGTATTTTTACAGAAATGTAAGAATCAAAATGTTAATCTTTAGGAAAAATGATATTGGCGTTTTGATATGGGATTGTGTTTTCTGATCTTTACTATTTTTCTTTTTTCTTTTTTGGTCTTTTTTTCTGAGACAGGGTTTCACTATTCCTGCCTCAGCCTCCAGAGTGCTAGGATTACAGGCATGAGCCACCACGCCCAGCTTATTATTTTCTTCTATTTGTAAAAGAAAAAAAAAAAAATATATATATATATATATATATATATATATATATATATATATTCAGCTAGGCGTGGTGGAGCATGCCTATAATCAAGCACTCAAGAGGCTGAGACAGGATTCAACTGAGCTACATAGTGAGTTTGAGGCCAGCCTGAACTACACAGTGTGATCGTGTCTTAAAAAACAAACTCTCTTTCTCTCCATGTATTTTCTAAATGTTTACATTTAGAAAAGCTGGTACTACAACCATAATACCTGATACATCTGCAACATGTTAGGACTTTCGTTTTTAGACCTGGTCTTACTGTATAGATCAGGCTGACCTTAAACTCATGCTCCTCCTGCCTCAGCCTCCTAAGTGCTGGGATTACAAACTTGCACCACCTTGACCCACAAAGAATTTCTAGAACACATTATCCGATTAAATTCTCTCAAACTTTCGGGTATATAATATTTTCATTTTACAAATAAGAAAAAGTTTTAAAAGTTTGAAAATGAAGTTTTTAAAGCACTCTAGTACTAAAAAAAGATGGGAACTGCAAGTCATTTCTTTCCACTTAACTCTTATTATATCACTAAAAATATACTTCAGACCCTCTCAGTGCCTGTGACTAGCTAAGTGTTCACAAGGCAAAAACTATACTTCGTATGTCATGGAAATCAGTACCTCCTGTCCCAAACTGACCTGAGTTGCACGCCTACATAAAAAATACTGCAGAAAGCAAAATAACATCTTCAAGATAGTACCCATTCACAAGTGAAAATAAAGGTTATAAAATAAAGGGGTATCTTCCGCTCTCCCCAAGCTGCGCGAGCTCAGCGAACTCACTTAACTAAAGGAGGGCGGGTAGGACAGTGAGACCCGGTAAGAGTTGTGAACAGGCATGGTGCAGGATACCCAATGGCGCGGTCTGCAACTGACAGATAACAGATCAATGCTCTCTAATGACTCCAGCACCGAATGGGATCAGCTCTGCCCCAGTCCTCTAGGCTTCAGAGAACTCAATACCCAAAAGGTGTCTCCATTTCTCGGCCGAACCCTCAATCCCAAACATGCCGAGGGGGAAAAGAAAATCCGCCGCCGCTCCCCGGCCCTGACTTGCCGGCAAATTCTCCCCTCCAGTGTCCGCCGACTTCTCCGCAGGAGTAGGTGGATTTTTATGGGTACGAAGTCGGGTTTACCCCTGGTGCCCTGCAAGGGAAAAACAGGGATGGTTCTATCGCTCACTTCCCACGTCTCGGGGTTCTTAACCTCTCCTTGAAAGCCATCACCTTCCCTGGGTCTCCGAGCTGCTGAAGCTTGAAGGCCGAGGGCAACGTGCAGAGCAAAGGCACATACTACATGTCCCAGAGGGCATCGCGCGGCGTAGGGGCGGGGTCACGGTGTTTACGCACCCCGGGGAACTCTGGGCTTCGGGTTTTCCAACGTGAGGGGTTGGGGCTGCGCTTACTGTACTGAAGAGAAAGATGTGAGGGTCATCCAGCTGCGACGTCTATTATCCTACTGATCGCTAGGGATAATTCAGCTGATGTAGCTGGCTAGACGGGTGTCCCCTTCCTCCCTTATCGCTCCATGCGCGTCCTTCCGGAAGCTACGCGCGCGCTCGGTCGATCACCCGGATGGAAGAGGAAGCGTTTCCTTAGTTAAGGGTACACCAGTAGCTGTGCTCCCCAGCTGAAACCTCCAAACAAGCCCTCAAGTTACTGGAAAGGATAGAGAGCCGTTAGGTCAGTCCCCCCCCTTCTAATTTTAGTATTGGGGGGACTTCCTACTACATCCTCAGCCCTTTAAATGTTCTATTTTAAAGTAAAATGTTCCTGAGTTACTAAACCGCCCAGGTTGGTGTCAACTTTTGATTCTCCTGCTATTTTCCAGTCTCACCCAGTATTGACTGCTGAACCCAGGGCCTCTGCTCTGAGCTTCACCCCTAGCCTTTTTTTTTTTTTTTTTTTTTTTTTTTTTTTTGAGTCGGCCAAGGTGGCACATGACCGTAAATCCCAGCGCTCAGGAGCCTAAGGTAAAACGATTGTCTCAAGTTGGAGGCAAACCTGGGGCTACTTTGTGAGTTCAAGGCCAGCCTGAATTACACAGCAAGACCTTGTCTCAAATATAATAATAATAATAATAATAATAATAATAATAATGAAGGAAACCAGACTCCCCCGGGGGTTTCCCTTACTTAGCAACCCATGACCACATTTTGCAAGAGGGCATAACCCCCCTGGAAAGTCCTGCCAGAAATTCTCGTGTCCCTTAAACGCTGTTTTGCTTCTGTATCCTCCGCCTGACATCTCCCACTAACAGTGTAAGGGAGAAAGCAAAACCCGGTTCGGATCTCACTGTGGGATACGAGTCCCACGCTGGGACAGCAATAAGGTTGCTGTTCGCTCCTACTCCACTCCTACTCCGTGTCCCGGAGTGCTATGCACGGGCGCCCCTTTTTCCTGCTTCATCTGACGACCCAGATGGGACTCTCGAGGTCCATCACGACCCACTCCCCCAAACTCCCGGCTCGCCCCTCCTAGAGCCCCCGTCTGACTGTCTGAGGAGGATGGGAGGGCCAAACGCATTTGGTAGACATCTGAATCAATGTAAGGTTCAAAGACCCCAATTCAGAGGAAAATCCAAGGTAGGATTTTCAGGGTGCTGATCATCCTCAGTGTCTCCTGAATAGCTACTGAGGTACAGTGAAACCGGACCGCTTTAGGCCACTGTTAGTGGATGGGAGTCTTGGACTGTGGCAGTGAGTGAGTGAGTGTGAATGAGAGGACAACTCACTGCAAACTCTGGTTTGGGTGAACCCGGCAAAAGCTAGTGTTCCAGGGCTACCTCATAGAGCTTAGAGCAGCACTAGAATAATAGTCAGGATCACTGGCTTGCCAGTACTAGGAGGGGCCTGAAATATCTCTGGGAGGGAGGGGACCAAATGCTTGGTGTATGTCTTTGTGGATGGTGAGGATCACCAGAGGGACTAAAGGGAGTCCTCCCACCTAGAGTCATGATCAAAAATTTCAAAAAGAGGGCCAGGGATATTGCTTAGAAGCATAGTGCACTTACCTGGCAAGCACAAGATACTGAGTTTGGCAGGTTGTGGCAGGGAATTCCAGACACCTAGATCAGTTTCCCTATGTGACTTCATGGTTGCCCCCTTTTCCAAGTTCTGCTTGCCACTGCAGCCTGCTCAACAAATGAGACCCCTATAAGACATGTCCCTCCTCTTAGGCAACTCAGAGGACCCCCGCTTCTAAATCATCCACCCCCTTTTCCCAGGGAACACTTCAGGATCCCCAGCATCTGGCCCTGAGGCCAGTCCAACACTTAAGTCAGGAAGTCTTCCCTCCAGTGCTTCCAGAGCCATCCTGTGTTCCCATTCCACCTCACACCCAGTTGGGAATGCATTTTGGGCCTAAGTTTCTACTGCCAAGTTCTCCTGCTTCCTTGGAATCAACTGAGACTTCTGGGTAGAATTCCCAAAATGGGACTTCATAAGAGGATAGAGCCTCCTGACAGTTGAGAATGATAGCTCTATGACTCCATGTTGCCTGGTCTTTGTTTACCAACCCTTTACTACCACTGACCATCATCAACAAGAAATCTGTTAAATGACACATGGAGTGCAGAGAGGCCAACAAACAAATGAGGAAAAAGGATGATCTTGTTGCTATGGCCCTGGCAGACAGGCTGATGGAAACTCATGATACAAATAGAAAGGGAACTAGTTTCGGTTTTTGTTTTTCGTACTGGGGATCAAACTCACAACCTTGTGCTTGCCAGGAGGTGCTTATACTGCTAGTTAAACCCCCAGCCCAAGGGAACTGTTCTTGAAAGCCACATCCACCCCTCGAAAAGTACCAGTGTAGGGGCTGGGGATTTAGCTCAGCAGCATAAGCACCTGACTTGCAAGCAGGCGGTCATGAGTTCGATCCCTGGTACCGATTAAAAAAAGAAAAGAAAAGTACCAGTGTGCCTATTGTAAGGGAGAAGTCTATTACAAGCACAAATGTCCCAAGTTAAAGAAAAAGATTGCTGAGTGATAGCAAAAGATAGGAAAGATAGCAGACGGCAACGTGCTCTGCTTCCACAGCAAGAGGAAATTCTTGCTTTGTGGATCAAGAAGGACTGCATTCAAGAGCACCCCACCACCACCATAGTCTACACGAAGATGGGAAACAAGCCAAATAAATTCCCGACAAAGGGGCAGATTCTTCACAGTTGTGACATCTGCTGGCCCTTCAGTCACAGCTCTGCTACTAGCAGTGGACCCACAAGGCAGTCAAAACTCAAGCTTTTTGTCATCTGCATTTTTAAGATAGGAGGCCATGAAGTGATGCACTGGTTCCTGTACATGCTAGATTGCCCATTTTCCCTCTTAGAAGGGATTTGTTGGCTAGCTTAAGAGCAAAAATTGACTTCAGGGACAGGGAAATGTACCTCAAGCTGCTGTTGCTGTGATTGATCTTGACACTAACTGTCCCTCAGGAAGAGGAATAGAGACTCCATGACTGGCAAACTGAGATGATCCCTGAGAGAAAGGAGGACTTGTTTAAGCAGAGATCCTAAATGTGGATGGAGGACAATCCTGCCTGCATAGCCACTGATCAACCTCTAGTCAAAGTGGAATTTAAAGCTGGGCCCAAACAGGTTTCCCAGTGACAGTACCAGATACCACTGGAGGTCCAGTGAGTAAATCAAACCCCCACTGAGAGACTGAAAAGCTATGATATCTACGTTCCTTGCCAGTCACCCTGGAACATGCTTCTTTCACAGTCAAGAAGGAAAACACTGAGGACTACCACCTAGTCCAGGACCTGCAAGCAATTAGTAAGGCTATAGAGACTCCATATCTACTATGCTGAACCCCCATACTCTCCTAGGACTGTTGCCAACCTCCGTGGAATGATTCACCAGCTTAGATATAAAAAATGCCTGCTTCTGCAT